GAGCGGCGCGGGTGTGCGCGCCGGAGAGCGGTGCTCCCCGGGGGCCGGCTTCTCTGTGCGAGCTCTGCGGAAAGACGGGCGGGGAGGGTGCCGTTACCGGGAGGCTTACGGCTGTAAAGGTGTCCTCGTGATAAAAAGATGTGGTTTCATCGAGAAATTCGTTGAAGCAAAATAATCGACTTAATTCATCCGACTGACGCTTCCCTCCCGCCCCCAATTGTTTGCTGAAAAGTACCGTATAAACGAGAGTCGGATTTTTTTTTTTTTTCATTGTGTGCAGTGAACCAGTTTTGCAGGATGAGCACTCTGACTGAAGAAGTTAAGCCAGAAGATGACAAACGGGAATCTGAAAAAAAAATATTTTATTGTGAAGTGAGTGCGTTTCTTGGTGGCTTTTCAGACTCTATGCTGAAATGCAGGCCTAAGGTATTAAAGACCACGCTCTTAGAATTACAGACCTAACCTAACCTGATAAACTTGTAAGTAAGAGAAGGTGTTAATGTGGAGAATAATGTGGTCAGTACCTGGAAGAGCTACTTGTCTTAAGACTTGGTGAATTCAGTTTGTGCTTGAGCAGTCACAGGTGCAATATAATGGTTCTTAATTCCTGGTCTTTCAGATCTCGGTTAAGTATTTCTCATAGGGGACACTAAAGGCTCATTTATCTGTAAATGATACGACTCGACGAGTCAGAACATGTTAAACTTGTCATATATTGTTTTAGAAGTGACTTTTTTTCTGACGAATTAAACTTCTGGAACAATATATCAAGAGAATAGACAGTATTAACATGCATTAGTCATCTTTTTTTATCTAAAGATAGTAAAATAACTGTAGATCTATATTGTCTTCCATTAATTGTAATGGTATATGTGTGCCTGTGGATCTTAATGAAATGCAGGTGTCTTCATTGTTTTTCTGATTGCTTTGATGTGACAATGAACAGGGTTGCAGTTATTCTAGGGCATAATTTTGTCTCTATTCCTTTCCAGTCACTGTATGATCCTCCCTTTTTGTTGGCTTTCCAGCCTGGAGAAGTTTAGAAAATTTAGAATCCAGAAAGTGGTGGTAGGAGGGAAGGGGGAGGTTCTTAAAAGATTCATACCACCTGGGATATTTAAACTTGTATTTAAGTATCGTTTGGACAGGTTTGCACACTACTCCTGGTGTCTTTAGTGGTATGCTGCTCTCCTAAATGTCATGCAAATTGTACTCTTTAAGCCAAGAACACCTGGGGTGGTATGCTGTAGAAACTGGATGTGTTTCCAGTTCTTAAAACTCACCAACTACAGAATATCCTACAACATAACTGAAGATGTGCTTTCAATCTATCTTTTTAGGTTTGTAAAGTTCCATGTATGAGTTCTATAAGTCTTCAGTCACACTATCGTGGTGCAAAGCATAGAAAGGTAATCCTTTTCCATATTAAATATATATGCAAATTTAACCGTAAATCTGGGATTCTTGTAAAGTTCAGTATTTGTCTTGGTATGGCTTCAAGTGCTTATCTAACTTGGTAGATCTGTAACAGTAATTTACTAGAAGAATCTTAAGAAAAAAGATGAGGTGAGAAGCTCACAACTGTTTTGTACAGCATGTAACTTGAAATATTAGCTGTACCTAAAGGTAAATATGTGTTAATTGTGAGATTAACATTTAAATTACACCTAAATCGCTAATAGTGAAAGAATGAAAACTGGGTTTGGATACAGTTGGTAAAAGTACTGCTCTGTTTTCCAAGTTTACCTAGCTTACCTGTACTTTGAATAAAACTAGCTTGCTTATTATTTTCATAGTAACAGCAATTTGGATTTCCTGCAGGAGTTAACATAGGCTTAACTGGCAAGTCCTATGGTTCTGTTTGTTTGAAGCTTCTCAATAGCAATTTCCTGGTTTACTGACTTAGCTTGCTTTGTGCTTAAATTATTAGACAGAGTTCTGTGAGGACTATTTAGAGACGAGGCTTTTATAAATATTGTTTGACCTTTTGATTGTTTGATGGTTATCTTCTGCTTAAAATTCCCCATTCTCAGTCTGAAGTTGAGACATACTCGGTTGTCTGTACTTTACTCTGTTACTTACGATTGCTGTCATCAGATTGTTTGTATTGTTGTGCCTGCTCTATCTAATGTTTTCTTAATGACATTTTATTCTTCCTGGAACGCTAAAGACTTAACTGCAATACTGTCTTTCTCAAGTGTTTGTGTACCCCTTTTCTGTCAGTTGTAGATGAGGGGCATCTCCCCACATCTTTATTTTCAAGACAGATTAATAGTATTTTGTCCCCTGTTTGCTCATAGCTTTAATAGCATTGACTCTTACTTGAGTCAGTGGCTTTACCTTCTCCAAATGCTTTTTTACCTCCAGGATTCAGTCGTCTTGTTCCCTCTTGATGCAGTAGATTTGTACAGTGCTGCAGTATTTTTTGTGTCCTGCCAAATGTTCTTGCTGGTGCAAGTTCCTTTAGTTTTGTGGTTGCTTGTTTCCTAGCTAACCTTCATAGCAATCCAATTACTGCTGTTTCTCCCTCTTAAAGTAGAAAAACTGGTGATTATTTTCTTAGAAAATCTGCACGTAGTTTTTCTTCTGTTTCACTCTCGGAAATCAGTGTAGGCTAGGCTACATCTCTCAAATTTTACTGAATTAATGAAGGACTGCAAACTGATAGTGAGTATGAATCGGGCAGGTTGAAAACCAGATGCCTGTGAGATGTTCAATGTGATGTATGGAGTCCTGGTAAGTCATATAACTATGCTTCTGTAGAAGTAACTCTCCCAAGATTGTGTCATCTTTTTCAATTACATCAAATTCCTCACTTTAAATATGAAATCTATTGTATGTTTTGACAGAAGATGATCAGAATTTATTGAGTTATCTCAAGAAGTTTTTGTATCATCAAGTTTGAAGTAACCATAACAGTCCCGAGTTTATGTTTCTTTTGATACAGGCTAGGTGTTGATAGTGAATAGCTCTTGGTTTGTTCCTTAGTAGAAGAGTTCCTGTTCAAAATAATACTAAAGGATGTCCTAACAATGTAACAAAATAAAGAGAACATGGTAATTCTTTACCTAAATTGCTACTCTAGCCAACCCACTAGTCATTTTTTGGCTTTAGTCAGATGATTCTTTTTTTTTTTTTTTAAACTACCCATTTGTTTTTAAAGTGGCATTGGTAAAGATACTTTGTGCTTGTCCTCCACCAGAGGAAGTTTCAAAATCACAAGAAATAACCTTTCATCGCGAGGACAGTCACTGGGAAAATTTCAAGAAACAAATGTAAGCGCTTGCTACATGTGTTAAATTGGCCTACATTTCCCATAGCTATTCAAAATTAAATGTGTCATTTTGAGTACCTGCACTAGTGAAGCTTGGTTATCTGACAGATCTGTGGTTTTTTTTTTTTTTTTTTTGTCACTGGGATAGTTTGTTTATTCTGGGTTTTGGATAGGTGCATAAGATACTTATCTAGGTTACTTATGCATATCTTTGTTTCATCTCTATATATTGATTGATTTGTTTACCCAATCAGTACCAATAGCATCAAAATGCATAATTTCTTTCAAAGAAGCCCCTTCCCAAGCATCTAAGCATATTTCTTAGGTAAATTGTACTGAGTTTATTGCTTCCATAAAACTAGGGAGATTTTTTTTAGTGTCCTATGTATAACAAAACAATGAAGACTACTTTTTTTAGGAAATCTAGTTCATATGTGCTACGATCCGCAGACTCCAGGAGTATTGCTTTTGATAAATTAGAGATTTTTAGTATGTTCTTCCTGTACTGATTCTCAATCTGGGTGTTTGAACTGACAGTTCAAATAATTCGCTGCTGGAGGGGAAAATATAAATAATATCTGTCTCTTCATGACAGTTTAGGCAGACTACCCAGATTTGTTATAAATTATACAGAAGTTTTAGCCAGGATATTTTCTTACTTCCCAAACTGAAAGAGAATAAGCCAATACCTAAAGCCTTGTGGAATTCTTCTGACTGTGGTAGAGGTTAATAGTTTGGTGCATTGAGCTCTCTTACAGGAGAGTGAGTCTTGAGTTGTTTACTTTGTATTTTTGTTTGTATATTTGCAGACTTAATGCTCTGTAACTCACTGGATTGTTGTGTGATTGATTTCAAGGGATAGAGATAGACTGGATGACATTGCATCATAAAATAAGTAATTTTAAAATATTTCAAGCAAATGTTTAGAAAGCGCAATGCTTTTCTTCCTAGTGTGTTACTAGATTAGGTTTTGCTTGTTTGAAGCATTTTCCTTTTGTGCTTGGAAATTCATGTGAAAATTTTTTCTGAGCAAGTCTCAGAGTAGTTGCTTTAGTCAAATAATAGATGATCAGTTATCTAATTAGATAAAAATGTTGCCACTTGCATTCTATGGCATATGAAACTTAAACATAGACGTTCACAAGTCTTTGAATGCTTAATTTGCAAAATATTAGGTAATATTTTAATTCTATATGGTGTACCTGTTTACAGTTCATTTAATATCTGTCCCTGAGAGTTGATTCTGTTGTGCCAAGAGTATGTACTTCTCACTGACTTCACTGTTCATGACTATGATGCTTTCTGTGTTCTTGAACTGGAGCTTGAGTAATAAGTAGAATACATGTATAATTTTTTTCTAGGTTTGGCAATTCATGAGGCCAAACACCTGTAAAAGCACTGATGGACAAAAGATTGTGGGGATGGGATGTCCACAGTACAAGACTGTGTATATCTTGCGCATCGAGTGCCTTATGACCTCTGTGTAGTTGAATACTGACAGGTCTTGTGGTAGTGTTGCTGACTAGGTGTTGCTGGGAGAGGTGAGTGGAAAATGTCTTGGACAAAATAGCATTCATATATGTGAATATATGTAGTTTTTGGCTCTTTAGACATTGGAATTGACTTGTATTATATAGTTTGAAAAACAGATGAATGTTACTTTTAGCCATTATGGTAAAATGGTTGGAAAGGAATGTTTATGTAAGTATACTAATGCTTTTCATTGAACTAAGTCTGTAAGAGTAATGATGGGTATAATGGATGAAAGGGTGTGTTTGGGTTTTTTGAGAGCTGAGTAAGAAGCTAGGACTTTGGAGGGTGCAGTCCCTAGTTAAAATGTACCTGCTGTGTATGTACCTGGAGTATGGTGGTAATATATTTTATTCTGGTTTTGCAAATATGCATTAGCTTTACTGCTCAGTTTGCTAGAAAGGAAATCCTGGAGTGGAATGTCTTTTCTATGTGCTTTGAACAGCTCTTTGCACGTTTGGCACCAGCAGGAGTGGGTTGCCTCTTCAGTGAACTATATATGAAGCACAGATGAAGACTGTTACAGTTCTAGGAGGGATTCAAGGTTTCTTGCCCTCCCTTCATGTCTGGCGATAAATAGGGTAGAAAAGCCTGCTGTGTTCCAAAAGGAGAGGGATCTGCATTTGGGACTCTGCAACCTCATTAGAAACAAGGAATGTTCAGATCTGTGAAGTTGTTAGTTTTTGTCTTCACCATTTCCGTGCCCTTGGTGTGTGCATCAGAACCTCTAGTTGAAAATACCTGATGTACAGGCAACTTTTCTGTCCTGTTGTATGTCGTGAAAATCAACCATGCTGGAAAAGCATTTTTAATTGGATGTTTTGTGTTGGTACTTGGAATGTTAATATAGCTCAGTTTCAGCTACAGGAAAATTGGCTTGCTGTTGTATTGTTTGTTTTGTCTCCAGATGTATACTAGTATGTTCTGCAGTTTATCTTCATGATCCAAAGAGGCTTAAACTGTACAGCTTTTCTTTTACAAAAAAACTTGATTTGCTTAGTATGAGCTTGAAGAATTAAGATAAATAGAAATTCTGTCTGTGGACTGCTAACATCTAGCCAGTATGCTTTCAAGAGTCTGTATATATTTAGGAACAACTAAATTATGTTTATATAATTCTTAACTAAGCCTGTGAAGCTGTTAGATAACATGTGAACTTGAATTGTGTAGAAAACTAATTTATGCAGAAGCTCTTATAGATTACAGTGTGTGGGGGAAGTTTGAACCCTAAATAAAAACCAGCAGTTTTTTGAGTTTTGGATTCTTTAAGTTGAACACTGTTAAAACTTACCCTAACTTTTCATAGTCTTAGCTCAGAACCAGCTGTTGCAACTTGCTTGCAACACATGACCCAGAATAGAGTATAAGTTACCTAATATGTGAGAATCTTCATTCCTGATGTAGTTTTGGGGTTTTCACCATTTGCTTTTTTTAAAGAAACCTCAAGAAGGGATCACAAGTAAAATGGACCCATTAGCTTTAGTTGTGGAACTCCTTTTCTAATATTAATAGAAGCAGTAATCCAAGTGCAGTCAAAGTAAAAGTTGATTGTCTGAAAATGATCAGGAAGAAATTCTCTTTGAGTAGCGGCTCACAGTTGCTAATGTTTTCTACTTTTGTCTGAAAAGTTATGTATTAGCAGCTGTTCTTTGTAAAACTTTGTAGAATGACAACTAATGAAAACAGTTGCACTTGCAGCAGCATAACTACAAGGGAGACAATATCTGTATTCTAAGCTTATAAAATCCTGCTGAGCTCATATACCACCACCCACTATCTGTGGTGTTAATGGGGACTTACGTAACTTCCTTTTTTATAACAGCTATTTGGCTTCTTAAAGAATTAACTATTGTGTCAGTCTCGTTTCCTACTGAATTGTCACACTGACGTGCAGCATCTCTTCCGTGCCACTGAATACTGAAAATAAAGCTCCATGGGCTGCTTTGGGCAGACAGCTGCTTTACTGGTAGAATGATCATGGTTATTGTTTCATTCCTATAAATGGCAAGTTTGTGTTTACTTACAAAAAAGTTCTCCAAATGAGTCAGGATCATTTTAGCCATGTTCTGAAATGGAAATTTAAGATCCTCTTTTCCTTAGATTCTGCCAAAAAGCTATCTTCTGGGTTCAGCTGATGAAAGCCAGTTCTCCTGTTCTTCAGGATATGAATGAACTTTCAGGAGATTCGGCTAGCCTTAAGGTTTGGCCAAATCCACTCAAAATGGTGGGGGAGCTGCTTTTTGTTAGTCTGTTTTTCCTTTTGGGGTGAATTTTCTTTTTTTTTTTTTTTGTTGTTGGAACTACAACTTTTGAAAACTTAGGAGCTGTAATCATGCAAAACTCAAAGCTTTTTTTCTAGTATCCTTGAGATACTGTGTTTCAAGCCATAATCATCTCCTAAAACTTCATTAATAACAAGGCTTTCTTGAAATTAGCCTTATATTAACTGTAAGTACACTGTCAGTGCTTCCAGCTTTTGCAGAAAAATCATAAAGGCTCTAATTTTCCCTATGTGATAATGGAAGCTTTGGCCTGTAATGTAATTCATCTGCAAAGGCTTCTCACGAAGTACAGGGTTTTTCCTTCAAATGGTGCAGCACATTAATTTCTTTTTTCTTATTTTATTTTGGGGTGACTTGCATCTTCATAATTGAAGAAAGAGAAAGCCCTGAGACGCAAGACTGTCTATTGTAAGTATAACACTTTTTTTCTTTCCAGTCTCCTAGGATAGATATTTCTTGGGGGTTTTAATGTTTATTGCTTTTTTACTAGTCAGATATTTGCATTTGCCAGGTATATATGTCTATAACTGTGTTTCTCTTTATATGCTGAACATTCATCTGAGTTTTCTGTCTAGTAAACTACTGAGCAAAGAAATGTGTTAGAGCATGAAACCTTCACTATGCCTTTCCATATCGAAATATTGGTATATCTGTCTAGTAGAGGGATGGATAGTCAGTATTTTAGTTTTACCTTCCCAAGCTAAACAGTCTCCCACTTATCTGTCAGCTTTATGCGCTCACTGCTAAGCTTCAGGCAGTATGCTAAGAAGCTAAATCAGCAGGCTAACACAGCACTATCGCAGATGCAGCTCTACCAGTGCTGGAGTTGCCTAGCTGCATCACAGAAGTGTTCTGCCTCTCTTCATTGTAGTGGACTTGGGAGTAGCAAAGACCTGTTCAAGGTAAACTCAGTTGTTGGGATATTTTTTCCCTCTGAAACTGAGAATGTGAATCCAGACTATTGTATGTCAATGAAAATAAGAGTTGTGGTGAAACTTTGAAAACATGGGATATAACTAGGTCACAGCGGAAATGGAAATCTTATTGTAAAGGCACTGATGATGATGTGCGAGACTTCTAAAGTACAGGAAGCAGAGAACATTAGCAGATATGGGAATACTGATAAAAATCAATGAGAAGATTAAAAACCAAAATGGTTATACAGTCAGTCATAAGAAATAAGCCTTTCACTTCTACGTTATCTTAGCCTGTTTTCCTAAGAAACAAAGCTTACACTCTGGCTTTGTCGTCTGTTCCCCAGTATCTTTTGAGCCTCTCAGCCTTTTTGAACCAAGTTGATCAAGGGTTCCTGAAAATGCATATCTGCACAGAGAAGAGTGATGTCAATCTTTTACTGAGGGAAGTGCTGCAGGCTGAGCTCGTCACTTACTGGACCCTGAAGAATCAACGCAAGGCAAAGATTTAGAAAAGCACTGGTCAGAGTCCATTTCCTAAGACTGGGCTTCATTAGCTATTCTTGTGGTTTGGTGTTGACAAGAGAATATTGCTGCAAGACATCATCCAAGTGTGTGAACAACTGTGAGACATCTTGCCTCAGCAGACATAAGTACTGTGTGCAGATCTCTTTGTAGGAATACTGGTAATGAAACTCCTTGACAGAATTTCTGCACAATTTCTGAAAACATATAGGGCTCCTCAAAATCCAGTGGATTTGTGCAGTCCAAAATTGTATTATACCTCAGTAACAACAACAGATTTGTTTGGCTATGGTCTAGTGGTTTTAGTGGAAGACAATTTCTAGAGACTTCTTTGTAATTCTTGTCAGAAATGGTCATTAAAAGTAATACTCATTAACTGGAGAGGTTCTTGCTTCAAGACCATAAAATCTTGTTTTGGAGGAGTAATGTAAGGAGATGCATGGGACAGAAAGTGGGACTTGAATAAGAGGACAGAAGGTGTGGCAGCAAGACTAAAAACAGTGGTGGAATACAGCAGCCAGTTGCAAAGACCTACACCTTAAGAAAACAGTACTGCTTAATGTACTACAATCTCAGCCTTCTTTGGAGAACTTGGGTTAAGAATGTATGCTTGTTATAAACGTTGCATCTCTGGAGATGTCATAGGTTAGAATCTTTCAACTGTGATGTACATTATAGAACAAGAAGAGATAAGTATTTGATCATTAAAGGGAAGAATCTAGAATGAAACTTTGATAAACAAGTTAGTGCTAATTTCTGGAGGAGTCCCAGCATCACAGGGTATCCCCTGTCAGAAACATTGCAAGATGTGCTTTAATCCAGGAAGTTCTGTGCCTTAATAATAATTTTGAAGCAATCAGCATATTTTACTTCTAATATAAAATGGTTGTTTATACTACTGATGTCTCCTTTATTCTACTTTATCCATATTGAATTCTGCTTCACTGAAGATCCAGATGTGGGAGACCAATTTGCAAGCTACTGTTAGGGTTTATTTGTCCAAAAGAGGCTAAAATTTGGCCTGATTAAGTTTATTTGTATGTTTTAGTTGTGGTTTTGGATTTCATTTGGGAACTGCAGTGCAGTGTTACATATTCAATGTATATGCAGAACTTCTCGAAACTCCCATGGACATACTACCAATTATACAAAATTCTCCCTCAAGAGCCAGCAGATCCAGGAAGTTCATTGTACTCTGTCACAGAGATAAAAGAATAAATTTTGAACTTTCTTGGCCTTTGTTTTTTCATTTTAAGTAACTGATGATTTTTTTTCTACAGTCTGCAGTCATATATAGTAAGCATGAACAAAAATTGTACTGCATTGGTGGAGTAAACTAGCAAAGTCTTGTGAATAAGCACAGAAAGTCTGGATATTCTTAAATTAGGTGCACTATGTAAAGTATGAGTCTAGTATTATTTCAGGTTTGAAATTGAGATGCTCCTGTTACTGCTGCTGGATCTCCAGTCTTGTTCTAATGTTCATGTTATGAAATACTCCAGTGAGAGTGAAATGTGGCAGCGTGTTCAAAGAGCCAGGAACAAAAATGTAGGGCTGCTGTCAATGAGTTTTCTTGAAAATTGCCTGGGACAAAACCTGACAAGTATCTGACATGTGCACTGTCTAAAGAATGGGTACTTCAGAGGATGAGGTTTGACATTTAAAATGCTTTACACCAACATCTGCAATTTCTTCCTTCCTGCAGAATTGAAAAAAATTCCTTTGTCAGTAGGGAGACCACCACCAATGCTGCTATCATTTGTAAACCACTATCAAAAAAGACAAATGACTTGGATTCTGAGTGTTTTCAGATGGGACATGCCATGTACAGTATCCTCTCTGAACTCATCAGAAGTAACTGTTCATAATCCATAAGTGATGAGTGTGAGTAACCTGACTGTTTAACTTAACTGTCTTCAAAGCCAACAAGATTGTACAGTCAGGAAACGCAGTTGATTCCAGATGATTGTGTTTGGATTCTTACTTTCTGTAAGAAAGACATCTGGATACCATGCGAGTTTCTGCATGGTGAAACTGTCAACTAGTTACTTTCGTGGTAATGACAGAATTGGATATCTGGGCTGTTTCTGTGCCTGCTCTCCAGCAGTTCAGAGGAAAGCATCTTAATGGAGGATGTGGGAAGAGAAGATGCTGAAGTTCTAGGACTTTACTAAGAAAGTTAAATCAAAGCTCAGTTAAGTATATGAATTTCAGTCATATGATTTCTTTGTATGATGATATAATTGGATACATGGAAGCTTTCAGCTGTAGTTGAGGCAGTTGCATGTATGTGTTCAGGGATAAGGAGGGGAGGAGACTGAACATTGATTTCTTGGGACCTTTTGGCCAAAGCAGACAGAAGCTTGGAAAACTTTCTGCTTTGCATAAGAAGTGTTAAACGATGGGGGTATGCCAATATACATGTTAGGCAAATGTTCCCTGGGCAATAGCAAACTCCAGTGGTTTACTCCTAAAATGAGGCAGCTCAGGTAGGAGGCATAGCATAGAGTATGAGCCCTACTAAAGCCATTTCAGGGCTGCCTAGCTTTATTGGTGAATTAATTTGGCACTAAGAAAAGTGGATTAATGGAATTTTTTTGCACAGCCTGTGGAATTTTTCATGCATTACAAGAAGATGCAGAGTTAGCATCTCTTACAATGATAGAAGTGAAAAACGTAATAAGGGATGTTGTAGGTGTTTAGCTGCTGGATCTAGCAACCTGTGTCTACATTCTTCAACCTATAAGTAGCACCATGAGTAAAGAAAGCTTTATTATGGTCATTGTGTAAAGTGTGGAGTCAAGGGGAGGAATCCAGTCTGAAGATAAGCTGCATTTATTTAACAGCACTGACTACAAGTTCTACCTCCGGTGAAAGCACAAATGTTATGTATTTTGCCTTGGGTTCATCAATGACAACCTTATCAGTATCCTGATCAGCATATCAGGTCTATGATGTAAGATAAGTTTGTTTATTTTAACATGTCCTTCCATGCTCAGTGTCTGTCAAGCATTGATCAGTATGCATAAGGTTTTGGGATGTAAAACTACATTTTTGAAGAAAGGAAACCTGGAAGTTCTTTTCTTGCCTAGAAGAAAAAAATGTTTCAGAAACCATAATAGAAGTACTGAAATAGAACACTACTCAGCTCCCTTACCACCTCTCTTGGGGAGTTCCCCATACAATGGAATATAGAGTCTTTGTACACTTCACCTCTTTTATTCAAAAGTGAATCTGCAGCACTGAGTCCAGTACCTCCATTGGTGCTGAGTAATGGAGTTGACAATGGCTGAAACTGCCCTTAAATTTTCAAACATAGCTGTTCTATTTCTGGCAGTCATTAGGAATGTGTGTGCATTACAAATACATGTATAGATGTAAAAGGCGGAGAATGAAGAAACATGTTCAGCACTGCCACTGAATGTTGAAAGGAAAGGGGGGTTTTCTGTTCATATAGGTAACTAGTATCTGGAAAATATCCCTTACTAAATAAATTTATTACTTGGGAAGAATTTTCTGAGACAGAGGTGATTTCCTAGCTTCCTGATTGAAGCAGGGCTACTGTCAGTACTGGATCATCACTTGGTTACTCAAGCCTTGAACAACTCTGAGGGCAGAGTGTTTAATCAGCTTGTAGTTGCTTCTCTGTCCTAAAGAGGAATTTTGTCCTAACATCTAATCTGTGCCTCCTAAGCAGCTATTTCTGGCTGCTATTTGTTATGCTACTGCACATCCCCACAGGGTTTGACTCATCTTTGTAGCTGTTCTTTCAGGTATCCAGGCTATTAGATTTACTTTTGGCCTCCACTTTACTAGATTAAACAGCTTCCAAACCTGTTCTTATAACTTACTTGCCCTGGGTTGTCTGTCTTGGTAGCCCTTCTGCTGGACCCTCTGTTTTTTTTTTTTCTACATCCCACTTGAACTGGAAAAGGATGGAACTAGACAGCCTCACAAGTCCCAAATAATGGAGGATAAGATATTTTGAAGTATGCTGCCTGTGCAGTAGCTCAGTATGGCATTTCCCTAGTTCATGGGAGATATGCTTTTGGCCAATTCTCAGCATTCATCATTAACTGAGCTGCTTTGACAGTGCCGCTGCTCAGTCAGCCAGATCTCAGCCTGTACTTGTGCATGGGGTTATTTCAGCTGCAGAACTCTACGCTTCTTACTATGTTTCTTTATTCCTTAATGTTCCCAAGGTCTTGCTCAACTGAAGCTGTGACATTGATTGTATTTCCTAAATTACTACTGTCTGAATTTGCCACTGGTGTTCTGTGCATCCTCAGGCAGGTTATTGATGGTGATGTTGATTGTGTGGGCCCTAAAAACATTTTTTGGGGTGCTTTGGTGCTTACTGAACACCAAGAGGCTGGTCTGTTGATTGTTGGTCTTTGAGCCTGTCAGTCCAGCCGATTTTCAGGTCATTGATCAATCTGATATGCTTTAAGGGAAAATACTGTTGTGTCTTGGTTTTCAGATGCTTAAGAAATATAACTTACACTATTACTGGTGTTAAAAAGCTATATGACTAGTAAATGTGAAGTAAACATTAGCCTGGAAGCCTGCTGTTGCTGAATGGGAGACTGTCTTTGAGGTCATAATTGCTTTGTTAAACTTTTGCAGGCATTAGTGATACTTGTGAAATGCCTTTTTTTTTTTTTTAACAAAAAAACCCTTTGGTAATAGTAGCAGCTACAACTTTATTTTTAATTTGACCATATTTTAGAATCTCAACCATGTTAAAGCAGACTGCACTATGAACTGCTTCTGGTGCAAAAAGTAAACAGAAAATCACTAAAAGTCTTATTTCACAGGTGCTTACCTATTCATACCATTTAGCGCTTGGCCATGTTCTCAGTCTGCAGATGCTGGATTTGGAATCTAACTTGGGCTTCAGGCACTAACTGAACAACTCTGCAATTAAGTAATTTTTGTTCTTGCAGAGTACCTGGATATCTTACTTGTTTATGCTACCAGAGACTTGGAAGCTTTTTACTGAAAAAGGTGGATAATATAAGAAATCAAGGGAGAGATCCTTTCTCATACCCCTCCCGTATGTTAATATTGCAGAGTTGTTTGCCACTTTTGAATTGATTTACAGCTTTGATACATATCTAATTGTCTGTCTTGTGCAGAAAGAGAAAACCATTGATGTAAACAACATTGTATTTGCCATGACTGTCAAAAACTTCTCTTCAAAAATAAGAATTACACGGGCAAATACATAGTTGAACTTCCACTTTTTTCAGTAAATGAGTACTGGTGTGTCATCTTGTTTTAATCTTGGATGCTGCAGTCTTACAAAATACTGAGAACATTTTCAAATGCACTTGTGGTGTGCCTGTGTCTATGGATTTGAGTGAAGAGTGGGGCAAGGGAAAGCAGTTCCAAAGGAAGAGAGTGGAAGTACCTTTACAAAAGCACATCTAAAAATTCAATATGAAGATGAGTGATTAAGAATATATACAGAACCCTATGCAAAAGAAGATGCAGTTGAATGATTTCTGAATTGTCTCTGGGACTGTGTTTAGACTCTGAATTTTGATCAGAAGTTTTCTGTTGGGTACCTGTAATACAGATCATGTCATGCACAATAGTGAATAGTTAAAATAATTAAGCAGTGTGAAAAACACTTAAAAATATGCTATACTTCTGTGATGTTTATGTGTTTGGTATATTGTGTTAGTGGGGAAGGGGAGTGGAAATGAAGACTTTTTCTTACTTAGAGTAGTAAAGTTACAAAAGGAAAGTACACCAAGATGAAATACAGCCATTAGTGAGACTATATTAAACTGTAAAGTGAAGTTAACTGTTTAATTCTCTAACTTGTTTGGATGATCTACTAGGTACTTAGTAAAAGTAAAAAGAAATAGTCTGACTGTCAAACTATTATCCTAGGTGCCCGAGCTCCACTCCGAACTCCGATGAAGTATGAAACACAGAGACCAGGTAGCCAAATATGCAACTTTGAAATCAGTGGTTTCGTTTTAGTGATGACCAAAGCAGGTGGTTGATTATGGTTTTGGGAAGAAGCAATGCAAGTTACCGAACATTTGAACCATTGCTTTTCATTTGTGCACTGGTTAATTTATGTAAGAAAAGATTGTAGGAAAATGTGAATCGCATAATCGTTTGGGTTGGAAGGGACCTTAAAGATCATCTTGTTCCAACCATCCTGCCATGGGCAGGGACACCTTCCACTAGCCCAGGTTGCTCAAAGCCCCGTCCAACCTGGCCTTGAACACTGCCAGGGAGGGGGCAGCCAGAACTTCTCTGGGCAACCTGTGCCAGTGTCTCATCACCCTCACAGGGAAGAATTTCTTCCAAGTTACAAGTATTTTCACAGAACAACTTTCAAAGTTGGGACATAGTTTCTGTATTCCTGATTATTGCTAACATCTGATATCAGTGTACATAGCTAATGTTTTTTTAGCTGATGAAATTTTCAAAAGAAAACTTTGCAGCATGCATGTGTATACCGGTTATGATACAGTGAAAGTTTGACAAAAGCATATAAACAAAGAACAGTATGGGTTGTTTATTATCAAGATGATACTAAACCAAAAATATTTAGTTGTATGTTAGGAAGCAGGAAGAAACTGGACATTACCTTGTAGGGACCTTAAACTTTTTTCTGGGTGAATCTTTTCATATTAAGCCTGAAAGACCACATGCCTTTCACTGTCAGTTTGGGAGCAGCCACCTCACACTGCAAGCTGCTGCACAGGCACACAAATCCTTGAGAATGGCATAATACATTTATATAAATTAATGCTGGAACTTAGTGATTTTTTTTTTTGTGTATATGTGTGCAGCCCTGGACTTTGACTTGGTAACAGTACAGGCATGTTCCTAATGGAATGAATATTTAAGAACAATCATTGAATTCCCAATGTGTCTGAAATTTTGTTGTTGTTTTTTTGTTTGTTTCTTTTTAAACCATAACCTGGCATCCTAGGGGGGGAGAACACAGTAATGGTTCAGTGCTTGTGGTATTTCTACTTGTTTGCTCCAGTTTGAAGAAACTAGCAGCATTTATGAGTCTTAGGAAATTCATCAGTCAGTTAAAATACAGCTGTATGTAATTAGGAAGATGAGTTTTATTGCTGCACATTTTTTCTCATTTTAAAAATATGTATTTTAACACTTGAATACACTTAATGCCTCTTTGAGACTGTTTTGTAGATATGTTTAGCTGGATTCTGCTGGTGTTCTGAGTTGACTAGGAATACTTTAAAAGTGGTTTAGGCACTGCAAAACCAAGCTCTTAAAACAGTGAGGAGCAAGATATAGCCCTGATTGAAACACTGCTAGGCCAGGCTCAGGAATGTATCAACTGTGGTTGTGTAGCTTCTGGTTTGCTTGGAGTACAAGAGGCATTGGCTGTATTAATGAAGATTGTGTCCTTTATTATACTTAAGGTAATATGATTCCTGAACTTGACTCCAAACAAGCAGTCTCAGTATGTTCTATGAGTATTAGGGTTTTAGGGGAAGGAAGTTGGTGGCTTGGCCTTTTTTTTTTTTAATGAGCACTGACATGCTCTGGGGTATGTTATGAATGTGAACTTGGTATCTTTCCTCAGTAAACTGGATTGTGTTAGAAGGTTTGTTTTGCTTATTTGGTTCTCTTCTTGAAGACATTAATTCCTTGCATGTGAAATTGTTATGGAAAACAGACAGTGTTGGAATCATTTTGTGAGTGACTGAGATCTTGCCCATTTTCCTTATGCATTTCAGAGTGCAAGTTAATTTTGTCTCCCTTAAGTCTCCATTAGAAACTCCTTTAGGATGATAGAAATTATGTGCAAACTGTCTAATATGTAATATCTCTTTATGTGTGTGTTTTTTTACTTTAGCTAAGAGAGGACTTACAAAGGACATAACCTGTCTGAAGGATTTTATGAATGATCCCAAAAGAGAAGAACCTCTAGTTGGTATGTTTTTTGTTTTCTAAATAGTATTTCTTTGAATTTGTGACCAAATAGCTTTTGTTTTGAAATAAAAGTTGGAATTCTAGATATTGTTTCACTTTCTGTAAAGGTATTGAATAATTTATAGGATATATCTTATCTCTTAAAACTTTTAAGGTATAGCTTATTACACTGAGTACTATAAAGGCCACCTCTTTTGTACATCTTAGTTGTTAAGAAAACTTGTTCCTGAAGGAGCCGTCTTAATAAAGAAGCTTTTCACAGATCACAGAATGTTTGAGGTTGGAAGGGACCTCTGGAGGTCATCTGCTATTAACCCCCTGCCCAGGTAGGGTCACTGAGAGCAGGTTGCCCAGCACCACGTCCAGATGACTTTTGAACATCTCCATGACCTCTTAGGGAAACCTGTGCCTAGTGCTCAGTCACCCTCACAGTGCTAAACAGTCCCAGCTCTCTGTCTTTCCTCATAGAAGAGATGCTCCAGTGCCTTTATCATCTTCGTGTCCCTTTGTATCACAGAATTGTCTAGGTTGGAAAAGACCTTGAAGATCATCCAGTCCAACTGTTAACCTAGCACTGACAGTTCTCAACTACATCATATCCCTCAGCACTATGTCAACCCAACTCAAACACCTCCAGGGATGAGGACTCCAACAAATCCCTGGGCAGCCCATTCCAAAGCTTCACAACCTGTTCTGTAAAGAAATGCTTCCTAATATCTAGTCTAAACCTTCCCTGGTGCAACTTAGGCCGTTTCCTCTTGTCCCATTGCTTACTACTTGGTTCAAGAGACTCATCCCCAGTTCTCTGCAACCTCCTCTCAGGTAGCTGTAGAGGGCGATGAGGTCTCCCCTCAGCCTCCTCTTCTCCAGACTAAACACCCCCAGTTCCCTCAGCCAGTCCTCCTACGACCTGTGTTGCACCAGCTCCGTTGCCCTTCTCCGGACATGCCAGAGTCATTCAATGTCCTTTTTGTAGTGAGGGGCCCAAAACTGAACACAGGAATCGAGGGGCGGCCTCCCCAGTGCTGAGCACAGGGGTAAGATCCCTTCCCTGTCCCTGCTGGCCACGCTATTGCTGACGCAGGCCAGGATGCCATTGGCCTTCTTGGCCCCCTGGGCACACTGCTGGCTCCTGTTCAGCCGGCTGTCAATCAACACCCCAGGTCCCTCTCTGGCAGCTCTCCAGCCACTCCTCCCCAAGCCTGTAGCGCTGCTGGGGGTTGTTGTGGCCCAAGGGCAGCCCCCGGCATTTGGCCTTATGGAAACTCCTCCAGTTGGGCTCAGCCCATGGCTCCAGCCTGTCCAGGTCTCTCTGCAGAGCCTCCCTACCTTCGAGCAGATCAACACTCCCACCCAACTTGGTGTCATCTGCAAACTGACTGAGGGTGCACTCAGTGTATGTCTGTGTCCCTTGTACTGGGAAGCCCAGAACTGGACACAGCACTCCAGACATGGCCCTACTGATGCTGAGTGGAGAGGGTGGATCATCTTCAGCCTGCTGGCAACATTCTTCTTAGTACAGCCCAGGATACCATTAGACATCTCGGCTGCAAGGGCTCATTGCTGGCTCACCTTCAACTTGGTGTCCACCCAGGTCCTTTCCTGCTGGTCTGCTTTCCAGCTGGTCAGCCCCCAGCATGTGCTGGTTGACTTGTTCCTCCCCAGGTGCAGAACTTTGCATTTCCCTTTGCTGAACTGCATGAAGTTCCTGCCAGCCCAACTCCCCAGCCTGTTGAGGTCCCTCTGGATAGCAGCACAACTCCCTGGTGTATCGGCCATCCCTCCCAGTTTTGTGCCATCAGCAAACTTGCTGAAGGTATGCATCATCTAGATCATTAATGAAGATATTCAACAGGACTAGACCCAGTATTGACGCTTGGGGTACACCACTACCTACTGGCCTCCAACTAAACTTCATGCCACTGGTGACTTGTCATTTGGTGATTCTTTGTGATTTTCCATTTGGTGGGATATACAGGTGTTTTTGTTTGGTGAGATATTTTTCCTCACTATCTTTGGGAATAGTAAAAGTAACGAGATAAATTTTAAGGTTTTATTTCTAAGTGCTAGATTAGGCAACCCTTAGGAGAGGATAAGCAATGCTGCTTGTCAGTCGCCTTAGTGCTCCTAGTATGTGCTGGTGGCCTAGAGAAATATGTTCCCTGGTGAAGAGCGAAGTACTGAATTTCCTAGTATTAGCAGAGAATTTCTCTGTTTAGGGAGTTGTCTTGTTGTTCTTCTACATGCACTATTAATATTAAAAAGCATAGAAATTTTTTATCATAAGCATTTTTAATAGAAAAATGTTGCTTTCTTGTATACTCAGTTCATTTGATAATTTATTTTCAGAGTTAAGATTTTGCAGTTACTGTAGTGAGTCCGAGATGGAGTTGTGTGTTTTGGATTTGTGACTAAAACAGTGTTCATAAACAAACACACCCGTGTTTTGGCTGTTGCTGAGCAGTGCACAGCTCAAGACATTATTTTTTTTCACTGTGGGTCCCCACTCTTCACCCCTTGAGTAGACTGGGTATGGGCAAGAGGCTGGGAGGGGACATAGCCAGGACAGTTGACCCAAACTGGCCAGAAGAATATTCTGTACCACATAATGTCACGTTCAACAATTGCAGTTGAGGTTAAAGAAAGTTAAAAGGGTGCATGTGTGTGTGTGTATATAGCTTCCATGGTGGTTGTTCAGAGACTGACTGGCTATTGATCTGCTTATGGGGAGGTGACTGACTGGTTTTCACTTTTTTTTTTCTCCTCTCTTCACTTACTAAACTGTTTTTAACTGAACACATGAGTTTTCTCATTTCTGCTCTTCCTATTTTCTCCCATTGTGCTGAGGGGTGTGTACGTGAGCGAGCAGGCAGCTGTGTGGTGCTTGGCTGCTGGCAGGGGTCAACCCATCACAAATATGCAGTATTGGAAATTATGATAATAAAGAACAGCTGCAGTTTTTCCAATTTGTTTTAAGCTGCTTATAAACTTATTACATTTAAGCTGTTCTGAGTAAAACTTTTCATGCTAGCTATAAGCCCCAAACTTAGATATTTCTGAATACTTCTAAGGCATAGTCTTTCAGTCATTCTAGGAAAAATGAAGAAAAAAAAAATTCCCATTTTCATTCCTGTAATTTTTAAAAGTTTATGGAAGATTTTTGGATTATGAAGGACTCAGTTTTGTGAAGACTTTCTTACATGTACTTTGTGCTACTTGGACACTGTCCAAATTCTGTTTTGACTAAGTAATTTAAATGCAGTGTTTTAATCTAGATGTTTATGTGGCATTTCCTGTTCTCATTCTTTTCTTTATATGCACTTCTCCATGAATTCTCTTACATGACTGTATTGAATGGAAGGCTCTTTCTTAAGTTTCTTGAAAATCTCCCAAACAGGAAAAAAGGTACATGAAATATTTCATTTCAGTGGTCTTGCAAATCTGCCATAGACAGTGCTTGTCCTTTCAGAATAAAGCATTGTTAAGAGGTAAATTTAACTGATGTGGGTAATAAGTCTAAAGAAGTGTTGAAGTGATCCTGACATGTTAAAATTCTGAAAATGGAAGGCTTTTATTTCTTCCTTTTAGCTTTTAATGAGCAACATTGAAGGGAATACATTTGTTTATAGTAGTCTATACTAAAATATAGACTCTTGCCTTTACAGGTTTAGAATATGTGGTTGAAATCAGATTTGAAGGAAGAAAAGAGCCGCATTATGAGTGCAAGCTGTGTGGTTTTAATACAGAGATGGCACCTATGATAGAACATCTTAGTGGATATAAACACAGAAGAGCATACATCGTGAGTAATTTTGATGTATTTTGATGACAATTTCTTTATAATACTCCCCTTTTTTTTTTTTCTATAAATATTTGCATCAAGTTTGAAGTTTAAACTCTCATGTGATAAATTTCTAATAAGACTTGTATGGATGACTGTTCATTGATCAGATCAACATGAATAGCCATGAAGCTGTGAGTTATCGAGGAATTGTGATCCAGAGGTTCATGGCTCTATCTGCTCCAACTCTGTTCCCAAGTGTTTTGATTGCCTCCAGGATCAGGTTCCTAGAACATTGTGGTGGTGTTTTTAATTCCTCAACATGCCCATAGCATTGTTGGATATGGTACAGAGCATGTTAACCTTTTGGTAGCAAGCTTCGCGTAGTATCCATTTTTTTGTTTTGAAGACTACATAAGCAACTTTAATATTAAAATATAAGTAGTTGTGTTATAGAGGAGAAATGAGCTCATATTGTTCAAAACAATGTTTACCAGTCTTTTGGAAGCTTGTCCAAAAGGTGAAACATGCCAATTTTTAAATGTTGTGATGAATTTTGATACTGACCATTTCAAGCTGTTTTTGTCAACAGTCTAAAGAATTTCCAGGTAAAATGAAGAGAGAGACAACAGATGTAAAAGAATGCAAAGTCTCATTTCTCAGACGGATAGCAGGAGAGCTAGAGAAGACTGAAGGACTGAAAATGTATAAGGTAATTGGAAGTAAATGTAAAGTATCCGGTAGTGAGTCTTTTGTCAGTGTATTTATTCTTGACCTAGTAAATTTTAAAAGTACTGTTGACAAAGCTTGTTAAATTTGTGTGTTTCTAGGAAGTGTAGTATTAAGTCAAATTAAGGCTTAACTTAAAGTTACCCTAAAAATTCTGGAGAAAAGAACAGTATTATTGAAATTCATCTGAAAAAGCAAAGTTTTTTATTTTTAAGAAGTCAGGTTTTTTAGATAGAAAATGTCCAGTCTGAATTCGCTGGTTCAGAAATTTTATTGTTGTACTTCAATTATTTTTAATTTTTGTTACTTAAATTTTCTCAAATGTAAGCAAATTTTACCTCAAATTTCATTTATATTTACAAGATTATATATCTATGAAATTATGGGCTACACTATACTAGGACAAATAAAAATACTTGTTACGTTTCTAAAAGCAGTTGCAGTAGAGACTTGTTACGAAATATTAATCAGAAAATCTGATATTAAACTATTTCTGTTCCTAGATTGAAGGTTACATAAGACCAAGTACCTCACGTAAGTCTCTGAATTATTGAATGTAATAGATTTGACATAATTGCTATTTGGCCTAATTTGAATTAGTAGTTGAACTCAAAGGGCTTGACTGATTTAAAATGTTCAACTTGTAATAGCAGAAAATATTTTCAGAGGTCTTCCAGTTTTTGTGAATTTGAAATGAGGGAAGAAGGGAATTGCCAGACTTGCAATGTTTATTAGAGATTTTTTAACAGCTTAATTCTTAGTTCCTTATCTTAAGATAACAGTAATTTGCTAATCAAGGAAAGTGAAAAAAGTATGGGAAAATGGTATTTCTCTGAATAAACTGCCTCCATGTACAGGATCAATCACTGGTAAAAGTGGAAGCTACAGTTCTTTAAGTCCACTGGAACAAGCAATGGAAACCAAACCCTCAAACATATACATTGGATCTTCCTTCATACAGTATGTTTGAGTTATGTCTTTTGTTAATGTAGATGTGCCATTGATGCTTAACAATGCCAACCTGAAGAAATATCTACTTTTGCTACCTTTTGACCCTAGTACTAATACCAGGGGGATTGTTTGGTTGAAATGGGTGAAAGTTGCTGAGATTAGCAGTTTGTCAGTGTGAATCCTGCTGTAGGTGTCTACCATAACAGTGAGTTGGGGTGGGGTTTTTTTTTGAGTGATCCTTGATGGCTTCTGTAGACTGTACTTTTTAATGTTGTTCTGCAAAACAAGGTGGCAGGGACCCATTTTGAGCTCCATTGAGCTTTGTTTGTCTCTCATGAAGAAGTGACCCAGTTACCTAGCTCAGTAATTCTCAGTTCAGGGTAAACTGACATCAGCATTTACTGACTTCTATAGAACTGGAAGACATGCTCAGATCTCAAACTGGAACATCAAAAAGAGTGATCCCGCCCAGTCCTACAGGATATGAAGAATTGGAGGAACAGGCAAGAGTGAAGTTAGCAGCAGAAGTGTTGTATCATTCAGTACTGAGGTTTGCTCTGGTTAGGTGGTGAATTCCAAAATTAAAATGCTCTAGTTATTTAGAAGAAAATGATGCTTACTGGTTTAGCAGCTGTGTGTCTTCAGACTAGATCATATTAGCAGAGAATGACTTTCAACTTCAAAGTTACCTTCTAAAAAGCAAGAGTGAGTTTGAAGATACAATTAAGAAAGGCCATTTGGTGGCATGTACTACTTTGTAAGTGACAAAATGGATATTAACACCAAATTTTGGCTTCTGCAGAGATCATATGCAAAACTAAGATAAGGTTATGTATTTTTTTTTTATATATGTATGTATGAGAGACCTTGAAGTGATTGATTGCTTTTCTTAAAAGGAAAAGTTATGATATTTCTTTATTCCCTAATGAAGGAAGATGATCTGTATTTTGTCTTGGGCTTCAGATTAAAAATACTGTCTTACTAAGGTAATTCCTGTAACCTGTTACTCAAAGTAGGGAGTTGAGCTTGAAGGCCTTATGACACTCTGTATGAGCACAGTGTGGCAGTATAACATACGAAGTTCTGGTCTAGTTCAGTCTCTGAATTCTGCCTGTGTAATTTTTTTTCCTTTCTAAAAACTACTTTTAATGCTACTATAGAATATGGCAGCAAACTCGAAATAAGTCCAGAGACTGACTTTCCTATTTTGGACCAGGCTTTTCAGATTGAATTATTGCTTCCTTGAAGTTATAACAGATACCTGGAGAAGCTTGTCTGTATCTTCAGTGAGGAAGTGATAACTCCATGTGTCAGTACCGGATGGGAAGTGACAGACTGATCAGTCTTGCTAAAAAGCACTTGATGGTTGTGGTGGATGCCAAGCTGAATATAAGCCAAGAGAACGCTCTGATTTCACATAAGGCAAATCTGATGCTGTGATACTTCAGAGGGAGCACAGGCAGCAGATTGAAGAACAGTCTTAGCCCCTAATGTTTGATGCTGGTAAGATCAAACTTGGAATACTGTGTCCAGGTCCAGTTTTATTCCTTCTAGTTCAGGGGGAAGATGGAGAAATTGGAGAGGATCCAGCAGAAGATTATGAAGACTCTCAGGGATCAAGAGCATGTACCTAGGATGAGGGTTAGAGGGAGCCAGGCTTGTTTAGAATGGGAAAGAGGAGGGTAAGGGGTAATCTTATACCTGCCCTTCAAACAGCTTTAGACTGATACAGAGAGGACAAAGCCAAAGCTGTTGGTAATCACAGGCAATGTAACAAGATGGCAGCCACAGATGGCAGTGTGAGAGGCTGAACTCAGGAAAAACTTCTTTCCTAGAGGTTAGTACAGCACTGGAACAGGTTATCCATAGGTAGTGAACTCTTCATCCTTGGGAGTTTTCAAGACCCGGCTATACAAAACTAGAATCTTAATATTAGCAGTAGTCTTGCTTTAAGTGGGAGGTTGGACTAGATGGTGGAGCTGGAAGTTATCATGTGGTCACAGAGCTGTGACATCAGGATTGCAGAGATGTAATGCAATAGCTTGTGTGACTGGAGTGCTGTAATGAATGGGTACAGGCTCCTTATGAAAGGTGGCATAGAACGTGACAGTAGAAGTTGTGCTGGATGCAAGAGCACATTTTCTGTATAGAGCTATGGCTGGTGGTTGTTGAGGTCTTATGGGTCAGGACTAGAGGGAAGGCCAGCAAGAACATACTCACTGTAGATGTCTGCCTGTTGTGAACAGGCCGTCTGTAGCAAGGCTGTCTTCACGTAACCGGAAGAAATCTTCCAACTGCAGGTTCCAGTTTTCTTGGGGGGACTGACTTGCTGTAAAAGCAGCATGGGAAGTTGCAAACCAAAAGTGAGTCAAGGCCTGTTTTTCAAGCAGCTGCTGGATAAGTCAACAGGAGGAAGGAAGTGTTTTACAGAGAAGGAGAAGAATCAGGAATGTGATGGTCAATGGCAGCCTTAATTGGAGTGGTCATGAGATGATAACAGATTAAAACCCTTCCGGGAATGAGGATGTTACATAACAGACTAATGACCTTGGGCTTCAGGGAAACAGACTTGAGCTTCTTCAGAAAATTAGTAGTCAGGATCCCTTGAGAGGCTGCTTTGAAAGGAAAAAAAGCCCCAAAGAGTAAATCAGTCTTCAGGGAGAACCTCCTCAAAGAGCAGAAATGATCCATTCTGCTGTCCAAGAGTTATGAATTGCAGATGGCTAGTGTGTTTGAGCAGGGAACTCCCAGCTGATCTTAATGCTAAAAGGAAGCATACAGATAACAGAAGCAGAAGCAGGCTGCCAAGAAGAAATGTTTAAGAATTGCAAATGTATTTGGGGTGAAATTAAGAAAGCAAAGCTTTCCTGGAGGTGAAAGGAATATGAAGGGCAACAGGAAGGCTTCTGCAGCTATGCCAGCAGCAAAAGATGATGTGGACCTGCCGCTGACCAAGTAGCTTGGTGATGAAGCCCATGGGAGAGGCTGAGATTTGTAGCTTTCTTTGCCTTGGTCTTTACTGAGAAATTCTGCTCTCAATCTTTGTGTGTAGTTGTAAAGCTTAAGGGAGAGTGGCATCACCCACTGTAGAGAAGGATCAGTTTAAGGAAGAGCAAATTATGTACAAGGCCATAGGACAAAAAGGGATGCTTCTGGTGTTAAGGGAGCTCTCTGCTCCCTCAGAAGGTCTTTGAAAGGTCACAGTAATCAGAGGAGTTCCTTTGGGATTGAAAAATTTCAAATGTGATTATCTTCAAAAGTAAAATGTGGTTACAGGCTGTCCCAGACTTTATAAAAAATTATGGGACAAGCCCTCATGGATGTCATTTACTAGTGTGTGAAGGTCAGGAAGGTGACTGGGAATAGCGAGTGTGGATTTACCATGGACAAACTGGGTTTGACCAGCCTGATTGCATTTTGCAATGACATGGGCTGGCTTTGTGGACAGGGGAAGAAGGATGGATGTCGGATGGATGTCATTTTAACTTCAGCAAAGCTTTCAGCACAGTCTCCCATGTTATACTTACAGCCAAAAAGGTAAGTCAACAGGGTTGATGAAAGGTGGCTGAACTGCTAGGCTCAGAGTTGTTGGTGATTTTAAGTGTGTTGGCCAGTTACTAGTGGCATTTCTCAGTGGTTTCTTCTGGGGCAAACACTATTCAGTGTGTGCATTCATGACCTGGATAATGGGCTAGAATACAGCACTGTCAAATTTGCAGATAGTGTCAAATTGGGGGAATGCCTGATATGTGGTAGAGCAAGACTCATTCAGAGGGATCTCAGCAAGCTGGTGAAATGGTCTGTCAGAAACCTCCTGAAGTTCAGCAAAGGTACATGTGAAGTATTACACCTGGGGTGAAGCAACACCCTGCTGGATACAGGCTGGATACTATTGAGCTAGGAGGAAAATCTTATGAACCTGTAAGATTTGATATACAGCAGTATGAACGTGAATCAGCAATGCACTCTTGATGTAATGAAAGCTAACAGCATCCTGGACTGCATTAGCAAAAGTGTAGCCACCAGTTTGAGGGAAGTGCTTATTCCCTTCTGTTAAGGACTCCTTAAGCTGCTTCTGGAATACTGTGTCCTGTGTATATGAACGATTTTGATGAAATGGAAAGAGTCAGCAGAGGACTCACCAGCTACAAAAGATCATGAGGAGACTAGAGCATATGATATGGAAGACAACTTTAGTCAGCTGGGTTTGATTACCTTGGAGAAGGCAGCAGCTAAGGAAGGGATCTAATTACTGTCTTCTGCTGCTTAAAGCAAGGCTACAGAGAAGGAGCCAGACTTTGAGAAGGTGTGCAGGGAAAGAACACGTGGCAACGTTCACAGACCGCAATAAAAGAAATACTGATTGAACATTCAGAAAATTCTGCACAGTGAGTGATCAAGCACTGAAATTGCCTGCCCAAAAAGGTGGGTAATTGCCATTCTTGAAGACCTATAAAACTCACCTGGACTTGGGCCTAAGCAGCCTGATCTCATCTTGAGGGTAGCCTTTCTCACAGTGAGCAGAACTTCAGTCATTTGCTTGAGTAAGGTGAAATTTCAAACCGCTGAGTAGCACTACTTGTCTCCACCCATCTTCTTTTCAAACAGGGAAGATTTTGGAGACTTACTGGAAAGACAGCACAAATTGAATAATTAAAGGAAAAATATTATACTTGTCAGTGTCCTCATCTTACAGTTAATTGTTTGGCTTCTGTTACTTACCACCCCTGTAGTAGTTTTCTCTTAACCTCTAAGGCTGGACTAGATGACCTTCAGAGGTTCCTTCCAACCTAAACTTTTTTATGATTCTGTGATTCTGCATGCAGATGCCCCTGCCATCCTACATTTCCGTGATTCTTAATTCACTGAATATCTTCTTTGAAATGGTGGCAGTCCTCTTCTATCCTGACATTTGGAAAACTTTGGGACCTACAGTGCAACTTATTGTTGCAACACACAGAATCACAGAATCATCTAGGTTGGAAAGACCTTGAAGATCATCCAGTCCAACCATTAACCTAACGCTGACAGTTCCCAACTACACCACATCCCTCAGCGCTATGTCAACCTGACTCTTAAACACCTCCAGGGATGAGGACTCTTATCACCAACTCATCAACATGTGTTCAACATCAAATTAAAACAGTAACGAGAGTCTTTCAGCCACATATTGTAGGGGCAAAGACATCATTTGTCCTGAGAATTTTGTCCTGTTGCTTATCCTGGAACAGGATAAATACTTACAAAGTGATAAGTTATGTACCATGCAGTAGCTGATTCTCTGAAGCATAGTTACTACCTTATTTTACTGAGCTTTCCCTCCTTCCTCATGCTTACACACTCTCTGGCAAGAGAGATGATTAGACATTTTAATCTCCATAACTTCTTGTTGGAGACTGCATTATTTTATGTGCAGCTTTGAGGTTCACTGGTATGTTCACAGAAATAAAAAAACCCAAACCTTTTCGCTTTTTGCACAGAGGATGCATGCACACCTCAGTCCATACTGACTTGTGTGGGATTCAGCTGCCTGATATGTTGGCATAGATGCTGAAGGGTACCCTGCAAAACTGTTAGGGCACAAGTCTCCTATAGCCCTTTCATCAAGGATGCCTGGTGGTTTCTAAAATGGTAGTATGTGCCTCGGTTTAGGCTGCTGAATCCTGCCCTTTAAAGAAACTGCAGCCACTTCAGGACCAGTACCTGTTCTGTTTGTGTGATGCTTCTATTATAGTAATACAGTACAAACCCTATGATGTTGCTAATAATTCTTTTTAATTTTCTAGCCCCATCAAAGAAGAAGGCAAGGTGAGAATACTACCCCCACAGGGGAATCAAGAGATTTTTTTAAAATTTCCTTATTTATTAAATAGATCTAGTTTTCTGTAACAAGCATCATCACGTATGGGGAAAATATTTTATATTATCTTTCCACTATGCTTATTCCTTTTGTGTAAATTTTTCCTTTCTGTCTATGAGGAAATAGTAGCTAAGTCTTTTGAAATACTGCAGTGGTTATGCAGTTCAGTAGCAGTCTGATGTACTTGCACACAAAGAAATTGCATTTCAAATTTCAAGCTGTTACCAGTTACAATTTACAGTTACCACTGCATACAAATTTGGAAATTGAAATATTTTGATTCTAGATACTATGAATAAACATAACTTTTAAGTAGTCTTTAGAGTGTATTTTAATATTGTCATCTCTTTCTTTTTAAGGTGGGAAGATGATTATAAGTATGAGGTATGTAGAGATAGTAATTCTGCAAGTATCTTATGCTTGCTTTTCATTTTTCTGAAAAATTTGTCCTCTTTGGCTTCATTTACTATTTTATTAATATTATTGCAGAAGCAAAATAATTGACCTAATGACCAGACTTTTGTGTTACTCATAGGGAAAATGAAAACTGTACATCAGGATACTCATCCATCTTAGTTCTCATAATTCCTGTTCAAAGTCACTGGGAGTGTCAGACCCAGTGTCTGCAGGCCAGGTCTCCCAACCTGTGCTGCAGTCTCCACTTCTTTGTTTTGTCCTCCTTCAGATCAAAGGTATTCTATACTTAAGGTTTGGTTTGAATCTCAAGATATCTCTAAAGATTTACCTTTTCTCAAAGGTGAGACTCAAAATGATCTCTCAAGTAGCCGTCCTGAATAACACTGGGTGCAAACACTGAAAACTACCTCACTTTTATCTTAATAGCAGAGGTTGTTCTGTAATCTGATGTATTCTGTGGTGATGTCTTGCTCTTTTATGCCTCAGGCTGGTCAGGTACTAGGCTAGCTGCAGCTGCGCACTTGACTTTTTTTTAAACACGAGGTTGGACCTGAGTGAGGAAAGCCTGGGAAAGATAGCTGTCGTAGGTATGTAGCTTAGGTGTGAAATGTGTTCTTCCCAGTGTTGGAAGTAACGCAGTTGTATTTGTAGTAGCTGCTACCTAATTGCTATTGAGGCTCTAATGCTATATGTTTATGGCTGTGAGCTAAAATTACTCTTTTCTTTGTGTTGACTCTTGTTGTCGGACAAAAGATTAAAAGATCTTGTTTTGTACAAGATGATGTAACAAATACTGTAGTATTCACTCTTTTAATTTTTCTTCCCCATTCTCCAATCCCACAGAATGATCCTGTTCGGAAACAGAAAGCTCTAGAATTCTTGGTATGTATGTAAAATTGTGATAAGAGTGGTGCAGTTTCACCAGTATAATGCAATGAATATTGTGAATATTGCAGTGAATATTTTCTTTGAAAACCTAGTGCAGCTGTATCATTATGTCAGCTCAGAACAGCTTGCTAGATTAAATGTGAGCTCTCTTACATGTTCTCTGGATCATTCTTCCCTCTGCTGAGGAGCCACCCTGACAAGCAGCGTTAGCAGCACTGATGTTGCTCCGGTGCTCTTGGCTGCTCATATCTAGTGGGATTTATGATAACGCTAAATGAGGGGAGCCAGTCTGGTCTTGCTGCCTGTGGTGCTGCTGCAGAACCAGCCAGCCAGGTGAAACTGGGTAGTACTAGAGCACGGCTGCTGGTGTTGGAGTGGGGAAGTTTTATCAGTTCAGCTGCTGTTGGCAGTGGCGTAGTAAGCCGAGTAAGTCTTTTGGGTTTCTGTTTTGAAAATATCTGACCATTTATATCCACCATTTTACTCCATGAAAGTTATGTTCTGTACCAACGGCAATCACAAAATTTAATTTGGGTCTGAATTGTGTTTATACACTAAAATCACAAGTAGAATGTTTTGAAATGTGTGCTTCATTACAAACTGAAGAAATTTTTTTTTTCCTTTTTCAATTTTTCATGTTTTTCTTTTAAGCTGTGGTTACTTATGACTTGAGGTAGAGAAAAAGCAAGTCTGGGGACAATGAAAAAACTACCAAAAATGCTCAGTAGACAGTTAATTGATTTTTACCTACAGAAATCACAGCTATTCTTCATGGCAGACTGCCTATATTCTTTTAACATTCTGTAATCACTTACAACTTCATAGACTTACTAATCAGTCTCTTCGGACATTAAAAAGACAGCCGTAATTGCTCTGCGCTTTACAGAATTATATCTGTATCTTTTGGTATCTCTTATTCCCAGAATTACACATAGGAAGATTATAATGGAAACTTCCATCTTTTTGTTACTAAAGTGGGAGAATCAAGGCATTAGATGGTCTTGAAGCTTACCTTTTATTCAGTTTTCTACTCAGCATAAATTTAGGACTTGTGCCCTTCTCCATCTGGAACAAAATGTTCATGATTGACAGTATGGGAGTGGCACAGACATCCAGGTTTATGTTCAACCTTTTATAAGCCCATTATTAAGTTCACAATTTTGTTTTTTCGTGTGTGTGTATGTATACATGTATTTGTCATATATCAACCCAGTATAAACGTGGTTATAACAAAATCAAATATAACTTTTATCTGTTTGTGTATATGATCCTTCAGCATCCTAATGACCAATTCTAATGTATTTCATCAGGAGACTTTTCACATCACTTCAGACTCAGAAGCAACACTTGTTGTTCATATTACACAGGAACTTACAGAAGCTTTGAAGGCCTTTTGTGAGAAGAAAGCAGCAGTAAGTAACTCAATTTTGTTTTACCATTGGGAGGAAAGGAGGTGGTTGAATTCATTGTGTTAACACCCTGTCAAACTGTAACAGTTCAGGCATAGGTTAAAACCCCTCAGTTAAATGTACTTTTTTTTTTTTTATAATTTCTAAGTACCAAACACATTCACTGCATGGCACATTTCTGTTAGTTTTCCATCATCCTTCATCTGTTTTAGTTTTCTTTTGCATGCATTCTTCCCATGTTCTGGGCACCATTTTGCTTCATGTTGTCTGAATATCATCCTTCCTTTGCAGTTGGACCCTTGCTTGATAGCTTTTCTTCTAAGATTAATCAGGCATTAAGTGCTACCCAGATGTCATCTCTTTCTTTTGTGGGCATGTGGATAAGTCTTTATTTCTGGTGGCTTGTAGCTCTGTTCCCAGTTGAGAGATTTAATCTGTTTAGACTAAGGCAGGCAAGATGTTCCTGTCTCTATCCCAGCTGAAACCAGGACACTGTCTTTCTGTTGGCTCTTGCAAACCTCCCTAGCTTCTTTACGTAAAAATTGAATACTTGTGGAAAAAGGTTCTGAAGAAGGACCAGAATCTGTACAATAATGACTCAGGACGTCTGGCAGCTACTGGTTCACAAAATTTGGCATGTGTTTTTCTGAAAGTTATTTCAGACTGGTTTCTTAGGAATTAATAATATATTCCATGTCAGCTGAGCTGTGGTAACTGTCTTTGTGCAAATGCCACCACCACCTTTTTGAGAGCTACACTTTCAAGAATGTCGTGCATTTGAATATCATACAGTTCTTATGAGCTAGTTAAAAATTGTTGCCATAGCTTAATCTTAGGCAGTAGTTGAGCTTTCCATTTTGCATTCCCCAGCTAGAGACAGGATTTGCATATGTACCAGTTTTATGTTTTAGCCAGGTGATCTGGAGACACATGGGGCAATAAAGTAATTTGAAACAGATGACATTGTTTTCCCCAGACACTTTATTCTGTTCTCCAGCCATGTACCTCTTCCAGATAATACTTTTGAAAATTGTGGTTTAATGTGGTAATTGCGAACAACAGAACAGCACATCCTTCATATGGAGTTTGCTGTCACCTAAAATTGTACTCTGCTGACTTTTTTTTTTTTTTTTTTTTTTTTAGAACGCTCAAAATTTGAGTTGAAAAAACAGACATCAGACATTCTGACCTTTCTTTACCTAGGTTAATTACACTAACAGTCTGAGGCCACTGATGTCAATATCTCAAGATGAATTTCCAGAAAGGAAAAGCATCCCAAAACACTATAAGCCATATGGAAAATCCAAAGGTAACTTTTAGATCTTTTATTCTAATATTTTAAGTTTACTCTTAATGCTGCACAGATTGTGAAAGTTTACTTTTATGGCCAGCCATAGTACTTCGTTAGAGCACTATGTGTCTTTGCCCCTTGATCAGTCGCAGATGGATTGACACCCTTCACTCATGAGAGAGAAGTAGCAATATGTTTATTGATATAAAACAGCGATTTAACAAAGTCTTGTAGTAAATACAGCAGTGGTTTAACAAGATTCGATGGCAAATTTCACTTGATATTTACTGTCTAGAGGACAGGATCAGACAAAACTGTCAGGGAAACATTCCCATTGAGTCACAAGGTTCAGAATGGGACCCCCTTGCTTTCTAAACTGCTCAGAGAGGAGTCTTGGTGTGACTGGATTCACTCCTAGTCCCAGACTTTGTCAATAGTTTATGTCTAAAAGATTATATATGTGTGCACTCAGTACTTTATATCGCTTAGCTAAGATTTCAAAGTATTGGTGTGCTTATTCTCAATTCACTTGCTGAGTATCTGGTGCAGTAAAGATTCTCTCAGCCTCAAGGAATAACCTTGAGAGGCCTCCCTGCTCAAGGGGAGATCCTGGTGTGCAGCCTGTTGCTGTGCAGGAGAGCTAAACAGGCCCTGGGCTGTCCGCTGTTTATATTAAGATGCTTGACTTATAGTCATATTTGCATACCAGCTGTATTTCAGTTGGCTCATGCTTAACTAGCCTTCAGATGTTGAGCAAGATTTACAGCCCTTATCTATTGTTATCTGTCTCTCTTGAGTCCAACTTGAACCAGGTGCAGCCATCATGTCCACCACTGGTGGCTGCTGCTTTAAGCAGAGTGGGGGCAGGGGGAGCACACCACCACAGAGTCCGTTCAGGATATCATTTTCTGAAACCTTAATGACTTCAGCCTTGACTGTCTAAAACACTTCTGTCTCACTGAATAGTATTAGAGCAGCAAATGTTCTTGGGAATACAAGCAGTAACCTTTCCTAACCTTTAACATGAGGATTTTTGGGTGAAAAGGTACTGGACTTAAGACATAAAGGCAAGGAAATGGGAAAAGAACAGGAGAATGCTTCATAAACCCTCAAAGTAGTTGTGGTTTAGGTTGATATCTTAAGATTTTGCTGTCTTTTAGTGTCATTTGTTTGTTTATTTATTCATTCAGGGAATTCTAACTGGAATCAAGGTTATTTGTCTCGGTATGAAGAGTGTTCTGCAGATGATTCTTTTGCTTCTGCTAACTCCTATAGTTACCAAACAGATGACAGATCATCTTCTTATAGACTAAGATCTGATGACTTTGCAATGATGTCTGCACTCAGGGACTCTCTTGCTCTTCAGACTGGAAGTCCTGCCAGTGGTATCAGTGAATGGCTGAGACAGTTCAGCCGATCTGCTTCTGGCAGTAATTCAGCTGGTGGGGCCTGTTCCTATGAGACAAGTCCAGTGAGTGAGTACTCAGCAGAATATATGTCCAACGATGTGCGAGGAAGTAAGCTCCCTGATAACAGAATCTCATATGGCGGGGAAAGTACAAACTGGGGGAATCAACAAGCATGTACAAAAGCAAGGCGTATGAGTGATCAAGGATTACCCTATGCCAATTCTTCTGCCTCATATCCTCCTTCTGGAAGATATTCCACAAACTATCCTTTGCAAAGCTATTTCTCTTACAGGAATGAGGAGTCTGTGAATACTTGTACATCTTCTGCAAAGCCTGCTGTTTCAGGGAGAGGTGGCTGTAGGTGGAATGAGGACTTTAGGTGGAATGAGGACTCTAGCTGGAACCAAAGCTCTAGCTGGAACCAGGAGTCTAACTGGAGGCAGGAATCTAGGTGTCAAGGATTCAGGTACCCCAAGTCAGGCTACAGGAGTGATTGGAGTTCACATCAGTACTCATTTTCTGGCAGTGGTTCGTACAGAGATTACCAGCAGTTCAGAAGCTCAGATAAAATACTTGATGAAGATGCTGTTGGTCTTACTCCCAACATTTTGAATAGACTACGAGGAGAGGATATACCTACAATGACCAGGATGCTCAAACAGTTGGCTCCATATTATCCAGCACTTCAAAGTAAGATTGTGATTAGTTCTCATGTAAAATGAGTTACATCAACATAATTGCTTAACATAAGCAGGAAATTTTGTGTTGCAGAGACAGTACGGTCCGTTCAGAGGAGTTGAGTTCGTTTTGCTCAATATCTGTACCAGCTGAAGAACGGTGTTAATTGCCTCTCTGAAGAGGCTTTGCCTCTTGACAACTAAATAGAGCTGTGAGTGGCAGGAAATGTTCATAGCACAAAAATTTCCTGAATTGAAAGATTTGTCCTAGGTCATCTTGCTAACTAGCATCTTGTAGCACGATCAGGGTTAGTACTTTTGAGGTGGCAACTATGGGAAGGGAATGTATTGGCATAAAGATAAAAATATTGGAATGCATGCTGAACCAAACTCGGATGTCATTATAATAGATGAAGATGTGGATCAAACACACTGGGATAACAAAAGAGAAATGTTATTAATGAGCTGTTTTGTTATATGACAAATTATTTTTCCCAATTATTTTAGAAATATTCCTTAATGTTAAAAGTAGTAAAATACTCTTCAAGTAAGAGATTCTCCCTTGGAAATAGATTATAAGAGGAATTTAAAGGGAGGTGGGCATATGCTACTGTGTCATTGGGCATGAGTTTGGACAAATGTGAATTATGCTTATGGTACTAGAATTAGTTAATTAACTATGTAGCTAGTTAATAGTAAAACTTTCATTTTGATGTTCTCTCTGCTCTATTGTGTGAAATAACATGAAATATTTTTATCTCCCCTTTCTAGAACTAAATATTCAGACATTAGTCAATGTGCTAGTAGAAACTAGAGGAAAAGATTAAGGAGCAACACAGCTGAACTGGAAACAGATGAACAGATTTGAGAATCTCCATCTCTTGGCTTTCAGGAAAGAGACTGAATTTAATTCTGTGTTTGACTGGTTTGGGGAGGGGAAAGGGAGGTAGGGTTTAATTTTTTAACAAGTGAAGTATAGCTGGAACACAAACTTGCACATAACGGAGGTGAACATACTATTTTGTTTAGGCTTTTTTAATGTATTTGTTATATCTTAGTATATTACAGAAAAAAATCTTTTCTTATTTTTTGAAAATATGTTAATGTTATTCTGTCAGCAAAAAGCTAATAACCCTTTTAACACCCTTCCCAATTCAGAAAAAAGAGAAATGTTTCATTTTATGTTATCTACTTAGGAAGAATATTCACTGAAAATACAGGTCCATGGCATAAAAATACAGGTTTATTTTTCTTCACACAGATGTAAGGCCAGTTCAGTTAATTTGAACCTTTATAATTAGCATATTTTTAGAAATTGATACACTACATTTCTGTTTAGACAAAGGAGAATGTTGCAGCAAAGGTATTCTCTGTCTTAACATGATGCTATATGAGGAAAATGTAATCTGTTCTAGGGAATTGGTATGTAATGGGGCATATTAGTCATTTTTGGTTTTGCAGAGTAAAAAGAGATGTGAAATAACTTGCAGATTTTTTTATCATGTTGGTTGGAATGAAATGGCTAAAAAATGGCTTAAAAACTCATTTGATGGATTCATCCATACTAAAATAAAAAATCCAGATTCTTTCTACTGGCAAAAGCGTACTAAGAAATAGTAGAACCTATAAGGCAATCAGATAAAATAACAGAGAAAAATAAATAATCAAAATGACATACTAACTGAGAAGTACTTAACAGTTCATAATGTTTATCAGTTGTCCATACTTATATTTTCCCCACACTTGAGCCATGTGCTCATGAATGCCTGGCTTTAGGTGTCTACTTTGTACCAAATTCAGTTTACATGGAGCTAAAGAAAAGAAGTGAGACAGTTTACTCCCCAGTGTCCATTTTCCTTTTCACTGCTGTGTTGTGGACTATCATTTTTCTTCTCACCAGTACCTGAAAGATTTCTTTGTCTCTGTGCATTAAATACTTGTGCTAAACCAGGGTTAATCTTCATGAGCAGTCATAATATATTTTTTGCATTCACTAAAATAACTTTTTGTATCTGGTCATGTGAATTTTAACAAAAAAGCAGCAAAGCAATTTATTATAGAGCATACAAACTCAATTCCCTGAAATTCTCCTTCTGTAATTGTTTTGCTTGTGCATCAGATTTTCACTCCTATTCACTACTTCTCTCCTCATACTCCCTGAAAGGTTTAAGTAGTTTCTAATGGCACACACTTAGTAATTGTGCCATAGGCTTTTATCTGTTGTTACATAGTAGACCTTCTTGCTTAAAGGGGGAAACCACTGTTTTCTACCACAGCTGTCTGCCAGAGTTTTGATTTAAAACTCCATGGGACTGATCAGTTGTTACCTACGTTTAAAAATGATCATAACTTATTTACATGAGTGTTACTACCATAAGTTTTTATCCACAGAAAGTGTAGTGCAACTGAAATTCTGAAACCGTAGAGAAAATGTGACTTGACAATGTTACTGCTACAACTCTGTCAATTCAAGTTACGACCTTTTCAATGAGGTGGTTGTCAAGAGCTCTTTTTTCCCATTACTCACTCCTTTTGGGATGTTACCTCTCTTATTGTATATCCCAGTGGCATACAGCTGCTGGATGATCTCTGCCCAAATTAGATGCTCTCTCTGCCTACACATTCCCTTCTTATTTTTTGTTTTGAGGAACGGTTCCTGTCCCTGCTTCCTGTTGTGGAGGGTCCTGCGCTGGGGAAGCAGTTCTTGCATTTGAAACAGAGTTGGAGTAGTGACCAAGTTGAGAAGAAATGCTTTTCGGCACTGATTTACTGAATGTTTCCTGAGCTGTAGATAGCATTTGGAGTCTTATAAATGCCCTCTGCTTTTTTGTTTCAATTTTCAGTGAAAGTGAAGTTCTTTTTTGTTTCAATTTTCAGTGAAATTTTCAGTGAACAGTGAAGTTCTTGAGGTGATTGTCTGTTAGTTCTTATTTACAAACACTATCATGTAGGGATTCTTTTTTTTTAAGCTGGTGGTATCCTGTAATATGCTCTCCAAACCTGCCTTATCTCTTATGTGCAATTACTACCAGCAGTGTGGTGTTTGTTTCTTTCAGTCACTTGGCTGAGCCAGTTTCATCTGCATTACTGCATCATAGAATGGTTTGGGTTTGAGGGGACCTTTAAAGGTCATCTAGTGTGACCCCTCTGCAATGAGCAGGGACATCCTCAACTAGATCAGGTTGCTCAGAGCCCTGTCCTCTACCGCCTCATTGGGCAACCTGTTCCAGTGTTTCACCACCCTCACTGTAAAAAATTTCTTCCTTGTATCTAGTCTAAATCTACCCTCTTTTAGTTTAAAACCATTACCCCTTGTCCTATTGCAACAGGCCCTGCTAAAAAGTTTGTCCCCATCTTTCTTATAAGCCCCCTTTAAGTACTGAAAGGCCACAATCAGGTCTCCCCAAAGCCTTCTCCTCTCCAGGCTGAACCACCCCAACTCTCTCGGCCTTTCTTCACAGCAGAGGTGTTCTATTCCCCAGTCATCTTCATGACCTCATCTGGACCCACTCAAGCAGGTCCATGTCCTTCTTATGTTGGAGATTCCAGAGCTGGACACACTACTCCAGGTGGGGTCTCACAAAAGCGGAGTAGAGGGGGAGAATTACCTCCCTCAACCTGTTGGTCACACTTCTTTCTCTTCGTGCAGCCCAGGATACATTTGGCTTTCTGGGCTGTGAGCACACAGTGTTGGCTAATGTTCAGCTTTTCATCCACCAGTACCCCCAAGATACCCACCAATTTCCTGCTACTCAGATGAAGGGCAAAAAGAAACAGAAGCAATTTCAGGATGCAACTCTGCAAAGGGATTGTTTACCCTTGTTGACAGGAGCGATGAATGTTTTTCCTTTCTTCCAGGGCTGTGTAGAATTGTGAGTACTAAGCACCATTTGGAGGACTTCTGTGAGACCTTCCCTTCCTTTCTAGGGCCAGGTACTTGCAACTCAGACTGTTTTCTTTTACAGGATTCACCCTGAGGATCTGTCTGCCCATTTCACTTCTTTCTCTCTAGCCAGCAGCTCATCCTACAAACATGACCTGTGAGAGATGGTGACTTTGGATTCTATCTTACTTGTTCTCACTCGGTTCAACCCTGCCACCTTTAAAGGGAGATTCAGATTACTCTTAAGAGAAAAGCATAAATCCAGGCTTCTGACCTTTTTGGCACCTGGCTGGCAGTGTCCACAAAGGTACCAGGTAAGAAGACCTCATGGGGAAAAACAAAAAAGTGCCTTGGAAGTACTGTCATCCTACCAGTTACTTCTTCAGTAGGCTAGCATAAGCCAAGACCTCCTGTTGCTTCTTTTTTCCTGCAGTGGTTAATTTTGTTGAATTAACCTCTGGCTGTCTACTCCTTACTCCAGAGAACCCCTTTGCTTTATCTTGCTCCCATGTAGTATAGAGCTGGAGAAGAATGACTCCTCTGCTTGTTCCTGTTTCTCTACACTTAGGTGGTTCTTCAAGAAACACCCCTGCAAGGCAGGCATTGATAGCCTGCAGACCAGCATCACTTTAAATGCCTTCCAGCCCTCAGCACTAATACACTGACACCACAAGCTTTGGCACTGAGGCAGGAGTTTTGAGGCTGCACCAGAGCCCTTTGAACCAATTTCACATTTCCTTAAAAAGCCATTGATAAAAATCCAGACTAGAACATGCTTTGGGAGATAAACGGTCTACTTTCCAGCCACTTTCTTTGTCTGTATGTGTGTGGTGTACCTGCTTTCACACCTTCAGAAGTGTCTGTTTCCTATGGAGACAAGAGTCGTTCCAGCCCAGAGCCACTTTGGTGATTCTTGGCAGCAGTGAGGCTCCTTTTGAAAGTGCTGGAGGCCGTTTTTCTACACCAAAGGTGGTGAAAGTGTAACAAGGTTGGCTGGAAGAGGAGACATCCTTCATAGGAGATGGCCTTGGAAATTTTTCAAGTTCCAGCTTTTCTAGTTTTGTAGCTCAAACCTACTGATGAGCCTCAGGTCACTTCCCAGGATTACTGGATTTCATTTGATGCATGATCTGAAGAGGCAGATTCCTTAGTAGGAAAGGAATGAAGAGGTGCTTTTGAACAGGGCCATTTAATTAAGGAGAAGCTTTTTTGAGCCCAGAGCTTTGGGGCTTTTCTTTTATTGCTTTGTTTCTGAAGTGAACATATAGAGTGATCGTCTCAGCCTTCTGGGGAAGTAATGTTCATGGAGTAATTGTTGGAAGTCTTTCTCCCTTGTCTTCTTAAACAGAAATAATTCTCACAGTTCATCTAAGGCTGCTGGATGAGGTGGTCTCTGACACTGGTCACTATTCCTGCTCCCCCAGAAACAATCCCTTGCCTTTTGGGAGAGCTCCTTGTCTCTGTGTGCTTATGCTGTGGGGACCATTGGTCTCTCCCCAGATATTTCACACCAGAAAAGCTTTTAGAAAATGTTGCTGAACTGTCACAAAGGGCATGTTTGATTATCACTTGACAACTAGTAGCAGCTTCTCTGCACAACAGATGTTTGGTAACTGCGTGGTTGCCACTTGGCTGTCTTCACCCTGACACCAGATGCTACTCCACTTGAGACACTTGGGAATAACATCAGAACATTGAGATTTTTTTCAAGTAGGATGTCTCTGTGCATAGACCCAAACCCTTTTGGAGTATCTGCTTGATATCACTGACAGCATCAATTAATGTATAGGTGCTCCCATCAGCTCACCTGCCTGTAATGATGAGATTTGAAGCCAAGGGGTGGGTGTAGACTGCCTGCATACAGTGAGCTGGGGCTGGGACAGGACTGACAGCTTAAGAAAAAGTCTTTGGGTAAAAGCTAAAATCTCTTGCCTGTAAACATGTCCCAAAGCATAGCAGTTACAGGTAAGTAATGTTGCTGCTGGAAAGTGTTCTAGTGCTGGTGTAAGATTTTCTTAGAGCAAGCTAAGAACTTGTTAACTTCTCTTTGCTTCCTCCAAGGTGCTGCTTTAGAGTTACTGCAGGAGATGGTGTGTGACAGGAATCAGTCATTAGTTTTTTGCTTCAGTTTTTCCACTGTGTCCCTCAGTAACTGTAAATAGTGAGATGGAGGGTAAAGTTATGAGAATGTTTGACTGTCAATTCAAGGCCACTTCAAATAAGTGCTTTAGCACAAAAATAAAGACTTTTGATGTTAAATGAGCACACTAAGCAGAGGGAACTATCTCTCCCGAGTTGTTAGATGACAGTTTATTTTTGTAGGGAACTCCTTGAGGAAGATGCAGTATTGGACACAGATGTGAAGAAGTTCTATTTGAAGATGTCTCACAGATACCTTGAGAGAAGGAGGCAGCTAGAAAATAAAAGGATCAGGCACAGGAAAAAGGCCATCGCTGTTAAGTAAGAGAGACCCCTGACCCATAGAAAAGTAGAATACAGAAATAAAAACCACCACCCCCTTGAAAAAAAGCTGTAAAAAAGTGAAGTAGACTAGAAAAGTTGATCTAATATTTTTACTTAATTTTAAATTCTGTATTAAAAATTAATACATTAAACTTTTACAAAAGTAAGGCACATGCAAAACATGTTGTGCATCATCTGACTTCTAACTCTTTTATAAACTAACAAGCATTATTTTAATTTGGCATTTCTAAAGAGTCATTTTTCCCCATGCAGGATATGTGGAAGATGGTTAAGTTTGACATTGCACCAGTTAAATCTAGATTCTGTGCTTTCTGTACTACAGTAAGCAGAGATGGTCATATCGTACAGTAATGCAAAAATAAAAAACTCAAGGACAGATTCTGGAGGTGATGACCAATATACAAAATTTAAGAATGTGAAGTTTTATCCATTATAATACATCAATAATCTTATTCAGTACAGGATGATTTGGCAACTCCAGTCTGTGTAACGCAAGTGTGCAATTCCTAGTTATCAGTGTCATACGATGCTGAAGACCATGGAAAGATATTGCTCATAAGACACCTGAATCCAGCCATCTTGATCAGTATCGTATCGTCGGAACACATCAGTCAGCCTCTGAAAAGGGGGAAAAAGCCACACAGTTTTGTGCTTTGGGAAAGTTCAGACTACCACGTCTTCCCCTTGCCCCTTTGTTTTCCATAGCTTTATGAACACTTCCTGTTCTTCCCCTCTGTACACACTTTATATGCACAGGACTGTAGAGGTTGTTCTTGGCCATGGCTCCTGCCTGAGCTGTGCAGCAGATCTGATTCCAAAACTGCCTTATCTAGGCATTTCCTTATAGAACCACAGAAAGGTTTGGGTTGGAAGGGACCTTAAAGACCATCTAGTTCTACCCCCACCCAACCCCCTGCCACAGGGACACCTTCCACTAGACCAGGTTGTTCAAAGCCCCATCCAACCTGGCCTTGAACACTGCCAGGGAGGGGGCAGCCACTTCTCTGGGCAACCTGTTCCAGTGTCTCACCACCCTCACAGGAAAGAACTTCTTCCTCATATCTAACCTTAAGACCAGACAGCTTTTATAACTAGCTTTACAGTGGGGGAAAAACACTACACAATTCTCATGAGACATTTGGGTGTCATCTGGAGACAGAATCTGATCAGTACCTTGTCCATTTCTCATCCTCTAAGCTCAATATGCTTTATCATTACTATCCCCATTGTCTCTGTATAACCCCAGAGATGCCAGGCACGATGGAGAGTGGACCAAAATAACTACCAGCATGGTTTCACTAACACCAGCTGAATGATACTCCATTTCAAAGCCCTCTTTAGCAAAGGTTAAGTTTATAACAAAGTATAATTGTCTTATATTACAAATGAATATAAAGGCAACTGATATTTCAGCAAACTCATGGTTACAAACATATAGCTAAAATGAGAAGAACAGAACACCTGTATGCAAATAATAGAGATACTGCTCTATTAAAGGGCACTGCTTTCTCTTCACTCTGCATATCAGAAGGCATCTTAAGATACTGTTGCAATGCTGGCCAATGTAAGAAGAACAACCACTCTCCTATCCTACTAAAACTCCATTTGTCTGCTGCTATGGTTTCCCAGCTTTTCCCCAAAGTCCTACATACATTTCAGAAAAGTCAGATACACTTAGAGAAACCTTAAGCAGTGAGGTGAGGAATCATCCAGTGATTGATTTCTAAACAAAAGAACACAACTGTAATACTACAGTTCTCTTTCTCTCTCTCTCCACAGATGCATTTCCATTACTGAAAGGTTTTTTTTGTTGTTTTCTTTGAAATGTCTTTTACTACCATTGCCCCTGCAGGAACAGCAGTGCCAAAAGACTGAATTCAGCTGCTAGGTCAAATTCTTTTTAGTCAGAGCCTTGAACAGAGAGATACACAAAACCCTCACAATTTAGATTACAAGAATTATGGGCACCATGGGATATGACACACTCCAGTTTTAACACGCTCAAGATCCAGAGGAAGTGTGTGTATGAAACTGATGGAAATAGTCTTAAGTGTTTGCCTTTTAAAACACTACTTTACATTTTTTCCCCCCTCTGTTAAGATACTTAACAGGTCAAAAAAAAAGGTATCAAATCTACTCGTGACGCAAATGGATAACCAAGTGAAGACCAATAAATGAAAGTGTTTCAAGCACCTCTCCTATACATTATCCAAATGATTTATTTATAAGCAAGTTCTAGGTCCAATATTGTAGTTAAATTGAAAACAATAAACATTTAAGAAAAGGGGAATTTTTTTCAATTGACATTAAAAGTACATCTCCTTTCTTACCTGTAAAACAACACAGCACTGAATAAAGTCATCAAAAGCAACCTGTCCTCTTCCTTGTCTGTCAAATTTCCGAATAAGGATATCGTAGAATTGATCAGACAGTCGGTAACCTTGGAAAGGAGAAATGCTTTAAAAGGTTTTGATTACCACAGTCCTTCTATAAAAAAAACCTAGTCTGTTTAGCAGGCAGGTGTAACAAAACCAGAAAACAGTAAGCAGTTACAAGAGAGAATTTTTTCTGGCCAAATGTCTCTGTGTTAAGCTAAAATGCATGCAGTAAAAGCCATGCTTAATTATAAACACAGAGTCACAGTAAACATAATTATGGATTAAAGTGACTAGTTGGTTGAGGGAACACTTCAGGGCTGCAACTCCAGTTTTTCTAAGTGCAGTCAAATAAAAGTTCCTTTTGCCATCAGAATGCTACTGTAGTACAGACAGCTGGCTTAATTTTAAAAAGCAGGAAGCTGTATCAGGTACCTCTGGAAGTGCAGACATTTACCTGGAGTATAGGTAATGCTCTCATAGCAACTAACAGGGGAGACAGAAAACATTCCACCCATGGACTGACACATCCAGTTCCATTTTTTCCATTAAAGGGAATAGTTTAAACAGTGCTTGTGGCATCTGTAAAGGTCCCTTATACCTAAAAGGGTAACCGCATTTCACCTGTCTCATAGTCACATTTGTTGAAGCAGTACAGCCCTACCAAGAAGTTCATCTGATGACATAACCCAGTCATAAAAACTGTAATTACAAATGAATTACCAAAACCTGTTAGTGCTTGCTTTAGTTCATTTTTGTCAATCATTCCAGAATTGTCTCTGTCATACGTTCGAAAGACATTCTGCCAGTCTGAGATGTACTTCCAGACTCCAGTGAATTCATTGAAGTTCACGCCACCTTTGTTTTCTCTGTCAAACATGCCTGAGATAAGAAACATATAAAACCTTAATCATACTACTCTTCAGTAAGATCTGTTAGCATTTTGAAGAAGGAAGTGAGAGCGCTTTGTGGAAGGTACTGAAGACAGAAAAGAAATTGCAAAAGTACAAGTGATATTTTGGAAAGTCCTGCCAAAAAAGGAAGGTTTCCATGAAAGGAGGATAAGATAAAGCAAGATTAAACAGGACCATGACAAATCACAGAATATTTTTTTTCCTGGGTTTTCATATCCACTCTGAAAGTATTTAGGGCTTGACTGATCATCCAGTGACAAAGAGAGGAGGGTTGTTCTTTTCTAAGGACTCAGGAAAAGTCTACAACAACTTCTGGTTGACTGCCAGAAGTCTGGGATATTCATCTGCATGTAACTTACTGTCATACAAACAGCACGTTGCACAGCAATGGAACTCTTGACTGCTGTTGAATACTTATTAAAACCAAGGCAAAACATTCAATTCTTGGATTTATGAACTCTATGATATGAGGGATTTTATGTGCTTGAATTTTTATCATTCTGTTCTACCACCATCATCTTCCACCCTACTGGCAATTATTTTAGGATGCTAAAGAATTCAAACATTGTAAAGGTTCTGTTTGGTCTTTCTGGAGCAGAACATAGGATTAAAACGCAAGACAGGAAAAACAGTTAATGAAGACAAGCTATATCGTATCTTTTCAGAATATTTGAGCTGACAGTTTCTCCACACAGAAATTACATTTACTCTCTATTCAGTTGTAGCTGTAACATTCTCTCAGGCTATTTTGACAAGTGCATGTGTGTGAATGCAAAGGACATTCCTATATTATTCAAAAGGGAAAATATTTAACTTACTACTGCTGAGCTGTCTGGAGAAAAAACAACAGTACAGCAATTAATAGCATTCTCAATTGTCTGAACAGATCACAAAAGAGTATTTTAACTTTCACATCACACAACTACACTCACCAAGAATGGACCTGACTGTTGCTGGATTAAATGGAGTCCACGTGCCTGAAACAGAGAAAATTGCTTAGTTCCTCAATATTAAGTAACATTTTAAAAAAATGCAACCAACCAACCAACAAATTAGGAGAGAGCCTTAAACAGTGAATGTAGAGCTGGATGAGACGGAGCCAGCATATTATAAGTCTGCTTTGAAGTAATAATGTTCTTGACAATTCAGACCGATGCTTTACAGATACTACAAAAACCCCCAAATTTTCCAGCCTGCACAAAAAAACAACCCAAAAGCTTGGAAGAACTAAAGGACTTTTTTCATCCCAGGTAGGCAAGAGGTATTGGCTAAAAGGCAAGATCAAAACTGAAGTCCCACTGTTCCTACTGATGGGAGCAAAAGAGTTTTAAACTATAACTTAAACAAGGTTTTATATCAGTTCCTCAGTAAAAACCCATCTGCTTATTTCCTGTTTTACAGGTGTGTTAACTCCAGGACATTTAGTTTCTGACAGAAGTGAAAAGAAAAGGTTCCTACCATGACATTACCCTGTGAAATTTAGAGCTGAGTTTAGTATAAATCCCACTTCCACCGGTAAAATGATTAATTTAAACAATTGGTATTTTCAGACCCAAGAAATGTCGCTGCTTGGAAGGGTCTGAGCAGTAATCATATGAAGAGGAGCTCTGCACTTCTCCGTATATTTTTGACAGGCTAGTCACTTCAGACTAGTTTTCAGTCTGTTGGAAGCATTCCAGAGTGCTAGGAAGCAGCAAGCTTTAAATTAAGAGAAATACTGTGCTTCACCATCAATTCTCTAGAGGCTGCAAAGGTACCAGGAGGACCGAGAGGCAGGTATTAATTCACTAAGCTTGAGTGAGGGACCACAAAGTAGCCAGCAAGACTAGAAGTACTATAGAGGCATTTGCAACAGCACAGTCAGCTGGCCACAAATACTGAATATAAAGTCTGCGCTGCTATTAAGGAGGTTTTGTGAGGACATGGCGGCTTTGCTGGATCAAACAGTGGTGGTTTAAGTAGTGCTTATACCAGTGCTGAATTTCTCCCACAGAAGGGAAACTGTAGTGTAAGTCTACAGATGCAGCCAGGGGGAAAAGCCCTACAGTGTAGGCAGGCCATGAGACTATCTGCACATAAAGAGAAACATAAGCAGGGGAGAGTAAAAACCGCTCTGAAAATGCTTAAGCAGTAGTTGAGACAGAGAACATCAGTACCTTAGAGTTGTATGTCTCCTGACAAAATAATAATGGAATTATTAATAGGGTTCCAGCATTTAATTTTGAACAGAATAGAGTTTGGAATTTCACTTATTTCATGTTGAAATTTTCAAGAGACTCATACAGAGACTATATAGTGAAACTCGAGTCACCAGTGCTGAAGAACTGTACTGATTGCAGCTTGTTCCAACAAACAGAAGGTGACCCTTTCACTCCCCTGACTTTAATAGTAAATTTACATGGCAGCGCAGAATAAAAACCAAGAAGGAAGCATAGGATTTACTTCTGCAAACAGCTATATGAAGTAATGATCAGTTCCTCCCAGGTAAGCAGACTGTTATTTATTTGCATAAACTTGACAGGTTGAAAAGCTGAATGTCAAAAACACATCAAACTTCAAATTTTAGTGAGCAGTATGCAGACTTTCTTTAATGTTTTAGTAATTAACACATAACATTCTTTTAGCCCATGTTAGACTGCAGGAGACAGCTACAAACAACCATCCACTAGAGGAAATATTTTGAAAATAATATAGTGAATTGTTAGTGACTTTGGTCTACAAGATCTAGAATCTCTCAGAATGAAGAAAGCTTACAGTTCTGTAAATATTCTGCCTAATAGTGAATTCACTTGGGGATTCTTCATAACTGCAAAGCACTGAAACTCCTAATCTACACTGTAAATAAGGAAAGAAAAGAGTTCAGGTAGTCATGACTGTCTATTACCGTTAAATTCAGTCAGATGAGAAGATATTTAAAATATATGACATTTAAAATGGCAGGTAAATCCAGGTTCCCACATCATTAGAAACAGCACTATAATCTTAAATGAAAACAGTGTCTTAATTTAATGTACCTTCTGCTGAAGTTGGTATTCAAAATAGTATTTTAGTTATGGATCAGGTGCAGCAGCTACAATATATTGCCTTTAATAGATCAGGTATCTTATTAAATATTCTAGTAAATCCAGTGTATTTACAAGACCACAGTTTTACTAAATATAGCCATCCAAATTTATTTCAAGTCAGGTGATTACTGTCAAAAAGGAGCCTTTCAGCCTGCATGCACCACAGCTCACAACATGAGTTTAAGCCCTTCTCAGTCACAGGAAGGATGAAGAAATTAAACCTTGGGAGAAAGGGAACTTCATATGAGCTCAAAGGCACACACTTTTCAGTTTTCTAAGTGGAAAAAAACCCCACAAAGGACAATCTTACCCACCTGTCACTAGAGGAAAGTAAAACAGGCTACTGGAAAAAATTTTTTGTTTTTATTTTACTTCTGCGAGTTATTTGACCATACTATAGTGTCCTGGTTTTGGCTGGGATAGAGCTAATTGGGTTGTCGTTGTGTTTGGGTTTTTTTTCTTCCTTCTTAGTAGCTAAAATAGTGCTGTGCTTTGGATTCAGTCGGGGATTTGATACGAGCAGAATGTTGATAATGTACTGATGTTTTCAGTTGTTGCTAAGAAATCAAGGACTTTTCAACTTCTCAAGTCCTGCCCATGTGCAGGGACACAAGAAGCTGGAGGGAAGAAGAGCCAAAACAGCAGACACAAACTGGCCAATGGAATATTCCGTATCATCCAACATCACGCTCAGTACATAGATAAGGGTGGACTGGGAAGCTGCACTGAGGTTCCTGGGATGGTGGTTTCAGGGTTCTCTCTTCTCTGGGCTCACTAGCTGAGAATAGGCTGGGAATTGGTCAGTGAGCGGTAAGCAATCACACTGTGCATTGCCTGTTTACATTTTTATTTTATTTCAAATACTGGTTTTATGTCAACCTACAAATCTCCTTGCCCCTACCCCTCCAAGTCTCTCCCCCATCCCCTGGGGGTGGGGGAAGGTGAGTGAGCAGCTGTGTGGTGTTTGGCTGCCGGCTGGGTTCAAACCACGATGCCTGGTTACCCTTTAAGCATTATGACAGGGAACTGACAGACTGCTGGAAAGCTTTAATACTAGATCTAGAATGTATCTTTCTACTTTGTTAGGAAAACCATCCAAACATGCCTCATTTGGAGAAAAAAAAAAATTACCATCTTCAATTCCTGCACCAGCCTGTATGAAAAAATTTTATGTGCAGTAAAAAGACTGGTTGTAAATGTCTGATCTTTGTCCAGGTTATACACTACATACCAGGTTAAAAACCAAAGGTTCAGTAGTGATGAGAGAGGAACATTTAAATCACCATTTTTGTTTTCTCGGAAGCAGAACTGGAAAAAACGAAGGGATGTGCACACCTTCATCCCCCAGAATACAAATCAATAATGTTTACAATAGGTACTCAGTTTATAATGCATTCTTACTAACATGTACCAAACCCAAAAAGCTTCCCTTAAAATCTAAAAAACCCCAGAAACAATGGGCTCAGAAAAAAAATTTTAAAAAATCCATAAATAAAATCAGAAAGATTATTCACTTTTTTACCTGCCCTTCAACCTTTTGCTGTAGATTAAGTAGTATTAATCAGTGGTAGGAACGTTCTCTCCCCTACCAGCAATCAGTCTCGCACAAAATTTAACATTATATTAGTGAACTTACTGGACTACCTCACTGCTCATTTACAGACTTACCATTGGATAATGCCTGCTGAAGTTCATTATCAGATATTATTCCACTTCTATCTTTATCAACCCTAAAAAAAAAAAAAAAAAAAAAAAAAAAAGAGCAGTAAGCTTTAAGTGGCTGAAATTAACTGGTTCCACTTATAGAAGACTTCAACATTCCAGTTCTTACCAGATATAATTAATCTTTTCCTGAAAAGTCACTAACTGCATTTTACTTGCTAAATCCTTCATAGTTACTGCAAATTAAACATTTCATTCAGACTAGTGAGGCATTCTAGAGTAAGACAAAAGCTAAAAAAACCCTGAAACACTTAAGGAGTGAAGAGACACACAAAAACACAAAGCGAGAATAAACCAGTTTGGGCATACGCCACACAAGAGTTTTTATTTATTTTTAAAACAACTGCAGAGCAGACCATGCTGGTTAAATCCACAAAATGCCTAATGTCATAGTAGTAAGCTGTTTGGCTCCCAAATTGGAGCCCCAAGTTTGGCACCCAGTTTCTCTCAATAAGATGTTGGCAACAGAGAGAAAGCCACTAACATAAGCAGTGTGAAGTACTGACAGAATTGACTGCAGGGCCTTGACCCCTTTCAAAGGGGTTCAAAAAGGGAAAAAACAGGCAGGTGCCAGCTTCCATTGAGCCTTCACAGTTTATTGCCTTAGAGAATGAGTTCTATCCCAGAATTTAAAATTATGGAATGTCTGCCAAAATAAAGCAGGATCATGCCTTCTTTTAGGAAACCTGAAAGTCTTGGGGACTTCCCTCCATTTTCTAAGAAGTACTTTCCCCTTGACACAGACAGTTTTTATTTCCCCTCAGTTACTGTCATCCAAGAGTCCTGCTCAGCTGATCCCTCTGCAAAAGCTGTTGTTCTCCTTTAGTCCTTGTTGCCTTTTTCTAAACCTTTTCAGTTCATTCTTCCTCATCTCAAAAATTATAAGCGGCATACAACATTCCAATTGCAAGCAATTCCATCAATTATAATAGCAAAAAGATATTCCTCTTTTTTATTCTCTTATTTCTTTTCTAGGTATTCCAAATATTTATTATTTCTGTAAGCTGCTAAGCTGATATTTTAATTAAAATGTGGTATGACCTACTTATCTTGCTCCTGAGCATCATCAGTCAGCTTAGAACACATTCATTTTATATACAAAACGACACAAAAGTTAGAGTGTGTCTTTCTCATGGACATCAGGTATCTACTCCAACGTCACCTGACCATCATACAGGGATCATGATCTGGCCATGACAGGGTGATGTGACCCTGTCATTCAGGACTGTAAGGTGCTCCTGCATGTCTTCGCAGGCCTCACTTACTATGGGAATCAGTTTGTGTAACCAGCAAACTTCATCCGACCATCCACCCACTTTCCCCCCCCCAGTTGCTCCTGAACATACCAAATAAAGTTGCCAGAACAGCTCCATCTGGTAGTGTGGCAGACAACCCTGCAGTCTTTTTTTTTAAGGTCAATTATTTATTCACCGAAGGACCCTCCCTCTCATTCAACGTATACTGGATTTCTTTACAGGGCTTTATAGTCTCTGTGTTGACACTCTCTTTGGAAGTGACACAGATTGTATCAACTGCACCAGTTCCAGCCATGATATCCATATCCAATCTTTATCAAACATAATCCAAGATTTACACAGTAGTCTCCCAGACAGGAATACTTCAGTAAAAGTCATGCAACCCTCCTGACTGATTAGCTACATTATTTTAAATCGTTTCTACTGGTTTGCCTGGTGCTGAAGTCAGACCGTTGATCAGTTTCTTTCTGGACCCTTTAAAAAAAGAAATGGCATCAAGCACGCCTCCTCCAAGCTCTCAGATGAAACAGTTTTACAGAAGGCTCTTTACAGAAGGCTGAGTAGGTAAACTGCCACATTCCTGAGTCACTCCTGAGTTACTAAGCAAATACTAGCCAGTTTTAGCAACTCCTTACTGTTTGTCTACTCCTTAACCTCTTCTTTCTGTCACTTGAGTCAAGACAGATCCTCTGACACATCTCCCATAAAATCAGGTTCAACATAGGAACCACCTCAGTTTCCTCGACAGGACACAAGAGTGAAGAAGTCCCTTAGCCTCTTTACTACTGCAGTCTCAACAGCATGTTTTTCAGCACGGGCCTGCTCCCTCCCTTGCAGGTTCCTGCTTCAGCTGTATTCAAGAGAATATTTGTTGGTAGTTTTTAAGCTTGCCATTAAGCATTTACCAGATTCCCTTTTAGGAGTGCTGTACTGCTACACTGATCCTCCAGACGTTCCAATTCTGTCCGGATTCTCAGGTCAAAAATTACTTCGGCGTTTTCAAGGTTACCTTCTCACTTCTTTCCTTGCTCTAAAATACAGCCATACTCCTTCCCCCTTAAGACTTTCCCAAAGCTCCCCCTCAGATTCCTCCTGCAGGGATATAACCGCGACGTTTAACCCTCCCTGCAAGGCCCCAAGGCTGACAAATCGTGCGTGGGATGCCCGGGCCGGGGACAGGCTTCCCCTAGCAGCTGACCGTTTCCGGGCACCTCCCAACGCCCGCTCCCTCCCGGTGACACCTCAGGCAACGGCGGCCCCGGTGGTGGTGGGGCGAGCCGGCCCCCCAGGCACTCCCCCCGCAGGACACGGCAGCGCGGCCCGGTAACGACGAGGACCGGTGACCAGGGGGGCTGGGGAGGGGAG